TGACATTAATCTTTTTAATACGTTTTAGCAGTTTGCGTGTATTTAATATTTTCTTGACGTTATGCGAAAGAGTAAAAACCGTGACATTTATAAAATAGCTCTATGCCGCTATATAAACAAACCCTACTCAACTACTTATAATAAGACACTGCGGTGCACTGAAAAGCACAACATGGTGCGAATGATTACTTTTATAGTCCCAAAATCTATAGCGATGACGGACGGAAGGAAGGAAGGACAGACACAGCCCGCTTATATTATAGATATTGATATATAGATATGTATACAGCCAATGTAAGCGACGTATATAGGCTTCATAAAACATTTTTATATGTGTTTAAGAAATCAAAACAGCTATTACAAATTAATTAAAAGATTACTGTATATTATAATAATCGCCTACCAATTAATTTATTATTAGTTTTATAAAAATAACAAAAGGGGAACAACAGATAATTTGGCCAGTCACGTGCAGAGTTTCTTCCAGGCATCTCTTCGGGGGGGGGGGGGGGGGGGGGGGGGGGCGGCGCTCTGCCCCCCCCCCCTCTCCGAACGAAATGTGGAATTTATATAGAAAATATATACTTTATACTTTTAACAGTGACCGCCCCCCCCCCCCCCTTGGAAATTTCAGCCCCGAAAAAAGTCTGGAAGAAACACTGGTCACGTGAGCTGTGAGAGTGTGAGACGATGTGGACGCTAAAATGGCAGATAATACTTTTTTTTTTTTAGCAAATAACAATCAATTTATATCTATGGAAAGGTCTTTGCTTTTAATTTTTAGTGCATCTAAAAAGATTTGTTTATGTTTTATTTTCCAAAATAAATAAAATAAACCGGAAGTGATCTCCCCTAAACTTTCTCGAATATTCTAATATAACACTACGTGGGATGGCAACTCGGAATATAGACATGATTTTTGTTTACTTAAACTTTTAAAAATAGAATAGAATCTAGTAGAAACTGAATTGCGCACCAAGCAAACGCCAAAACAAAACGTGAATAATAGTGCACAATATTATTAGTACTTTATAAATTTACATGCGTTTTTTGAGAAATTGGAAATAGCGTAAATTACTACTTCCGGTCAACGGAAATTACTAAAAATTTGATAGAAGGTAGAGAATTAGATCTTTTACTTACATGTGAAATTTTATTTATCTATCTGTAATAGTACTCAAGTTATAGGCTTTTGAAAAATTCAAAGTAGAAAAAGTACCACTTCCGGTTATCGGAAATCGCTCAAAAGTTGATACGGATCTACGATTTTGATAAAATACTTATATATGAAATTTCATCAACCTAGCTGTAACGGTACTCAAGTTATCGTGTTTACACACAGACAGACACACACACACAGACAGACAGACATACGGACAAGATTGCAAAATTATGTTTTTCCGTATCAGTGAGGTGTAAAACGTCGAGATTTTTTTTTTTTTTTTGCACGATTACAAGACTTTCTCTATACTTCGTATATACGAGAAAGTAAAAAGCTCCCAACCAAGTTTACACAACCGTGAAAATGTTAGGCGAAAAATGATTGCGGTGTTGCATCCCCTTAACATGGTAAGTTGTTTGGCTATATCGAAAGAATAAAAAGGTCCATTGAAATTAAAAGATCATAATATGACTAATGAAAAAAATTATGTTTAAAAAAACAGTGCTGATAGAACATAAGAGTGAAAATGTTCGACGGTATCATTAAATAAAATTAAAAGGTCGGTTTTATAAAAACAATAAGCGCGGGTCAACGGGGTCAAACAGTAGAGCGCAGTCAGAAGTGAGCAGAGTTTCTTCCAGGTAAAAATTTTTACCGCCCCCCCCCCCCGAACGAAATGAAATTTATATAATTTATATAGAAAATATATACTTTTAACAGTGTCCGCCCCCCCCCCCGAAGATTTCTAGTGCGCCCCCCCCCCCGGAGAAAAAAGTCTGGAAGAAACACTGGAAGTGAGTCCGTGAATCTACCTGACACGGAAGGCAAAGTAAAAGCGGCTGAGCATAATGCTGCCACACAAGCCTTTTTATATAGTGGTTTATATATTATATATCTAAAGAAAATCATTTGTTTTCTACTTTTTATTGCTTTTGTTAGTAAAACGTTTATTATTATTATTATTATTATTATTATTATTATTATTATTATTATTATTATTATTATTATTATTATTATTATTATTATTATTATTATTATTTGTTTTAACATAGACATTTGAGCTAAATAATTTCACGTGTAATTTATGGCTAGAGATAGCTACACTGCTTTTCACTCATTTGTTTCATGGTCATAAATATTTTGTATTAATTAAAATTTAAAAAATCCTTCTGATTATTATTTAATACTACTACTACTACTACTACTACTACTACTACTACTACTACTACTACTACTACTAATAATAATAATAATAATAATAATAATAATAATCATCTCCTCCGCCCCCCCCCCGGAGAAAAAGTCTGAAAGAAACACTGCACATAAGTGAAGGAAGTAAAAGATTTATTATTAAGGCAGAATTGTCAATTATGAAGGAGACTTGCACCGCTGAAATTAAAATACTTTAAAAATTTTTACCGGGGGGGTGACACCAACTGCAAAATTTACAGATTAAAAAATAAGGGGGGGGGGGGTGACACCATGAGGTTGCCGCACCGGGTAACACCCGACCTAGCGACGCAACTGGATAGACTACTAGGAGAAATGGAAATGGACGCAGTTTCCAAAGTCGAAAAAAATGGGACTGGATGCGACACGTCCTATGAATGAATCCAGATGATATCGCAGGAATGGCGCTAAACTGATCGGCTCATGGAAAAAGAAAGCAGGGAAGGTAAATATAGACGTGTATATTATATATATATATATATATATATATATATATATATATATATATATATATATATATATATATATATATATATATATATATATATATATATATATATATATATATATATATATATATATATATACTTTTTTCTTCGGGGGGGGGGGGGGAATGACATCATGTGGTGTCATGCTGGGTGACACCATGACTTGTCGTACTGGGTGACACCCGACCTAGCGACGCCATTAGGGATCATCCATAAATGATGTCACGCTTTTTTGTCGATTTTTACCTCCCCTCCGTCACACAGCGTCACAAAAAGCCAGACCCCCCCCCCCCTAATGACGTCGACACTCGGCCTACAACCCCCCCCCCCCCCAAAAAAAATTGCAGTTGCATTTCTTAAAACATCGATCTTTTTCCAAAATCTTGTCTTAACTGTCAACGTAGCGTATTTTAATCAATTCCATATTACAATTTATTAAAACAGTTTTCTAAAACGCGAAATAACGGCTAAAACTCGATTTTTAACATTGCTTTTTTTATAATGCAAAAGTGTGACGTCACACCATCTGAACCCCCCCCCCCCCTCCCCTTCATCACATGCCGTCACAAAACTAAGGATCCCTGTTCTCCTTCCCCCTCTACGAGTGTGACGTCATTTATGGAGACCCCCCTTAGGAGGACACACACACCAAGATGATTTGATGCCGGCCAAAAAAAACAAAACACATTATAAGGGGAGTTGACACCAACCAATAGAAAAGGGTGCAAAATTTTACAGAGAAAACAACGTTTGACTAGCTGAATATAATTAACACACCACCCACTGAAAGCGGATTTGGGTAACTACGTTGAGAAATTGAAACTTGTCACAATAGGTAAATCGCTGTCTCAAACTTTCGATTTGCACCTCTAAAAAGACCATTTAACACTCGAATTAATCACTTAATTAAGTGGAATTATCATTTTTCTCTGTATATTTTGCTATTTTTTTGCCTTAGTGTCATCCCCCTACACGCAGTGGCGTAGCGAGGTCGGGTATCACCCGGTGTGGCACTTAATGGTGTCACCCCCCCCCCCCCAGAGGCGTAGCGACCCTTCCCGGGGACAAACTTTCAATTTTTGATTTATACCCCCCTCAAACTTACGATTTACACCCCCCCCCCCCTCAAACTTTCGATTTGCACTGCCCCTCAAACTTTCGATTTGCACCCCTCCCCCCTCAAACTTTCGATTTGCACCTCTTAAAATACTATTTAACACTCGAATTAATCACTTAATTAAGTGGAATTATCATTTTTCTCTATATATTTTGCTATTTTTTGCCTTGGTGTCACCCCCTAGCTACGCCTCTGCCTACATGGTGTCACCCGGTGCGGTCCGCACACTCCCCTCCCCCCCCCCCCCTTTCGCCACGCTACTGGCGGGGGAGGTGGTCAGACACTACATAAAATATGTATTTCGTGTTTGTGTGTGTGGGGGGGGGGGGACTTCGAAGAGATGCCTGAAAGAAACTCAACCTCTTCAACTTTTCGTTGGTGGGCGCATGACACACTGAGTTACCGCACTGTGACAAAACGAACCAATTTGCTTTTTAGTCAACTTACTTTTATTATTATTTATGCCAATAACATTTCAATTGATTATCGTTGATTATTTTTAATGCAAGCCTAGGCCTGTTTTTAAATTTGTTAGCCTATAAATAATAATATTAGCTAACTATTAAATTAAATGTTTTTGTTGTATTGAGGGCGACGATGGGTAAGGCATATGTAACTAATACTAATAGACTAGATCTAGATCACAATCTATAATGACAAGAATCTAGACTAGAGTATATCTTAATGACAATGATGTTCCTATCTATGACACTGCACACTGGCTTAAGTTCATACTAAAGGCCGACAATAGCCAAAGTAGGCCTACATAATATAAATAAAGTGATAAGCGTTTGATTTTGACTTAGTTTTTACTAGACTTATATTTAGATCTGGATTCTCTATGTCTAAAATCGTACCTCAAAGCTTTTGCTACTAAAAAAATTAAAGTTATTTTCATTGTCGGCGTAATAAACTACAAATTATGGGCCTAAGCAGATATTATTTTTATAACTAATCAGTATAGTTTCCATCAACCAATCGAATCGCGCAGTGTATCGGTACAGCCCAGCTTGACGCATTCTCGAAGGCTAAAAAAAAAGATAAAGTAGGTCAACATACATCCTATGAATGAAATAGTCCTTGGAGTATGCATTGATTTGTCAACTTTTGTTGGATCTGACATATTCTTATTTATCTTGTATTTAAAATGTAGCTGATATGTATCAAAATTATAGTGACTTATTTTTCACTTAAAATAAACACTTTGTTGCGAAGTCACATAGATCTATTCACAGTTATCTCGGAGAGTTTGGCAGCCATGTTTGATTTAAGACGGCTTCATCGCCATTATGAAATGGCAAAAATTATCGAATTTTCAGCAAACGCTTAAAACCTGTAGATTCTAGGAGACAGGTAAGACCTTCAAAAATTAGATAAATTACAAATGAACACGTCTACACTGGATTTGCATGGGATAATCTTAGTGCGAACTGGAATTTTTGAATAGTAGTAGCTTAATTTTGCGCGTCTTCTTGAAAAAGAATTTTCAACCCTGGTTCACCGCTGGAAACAACAATAAAACAGCAATGCCTACTTCGTTGAAGGGGTAGAATTATAAATATTAGAAGATTTTGGTGTGTAAATAATTGTGTTAGAGGTGTAGCCCTACCCAAAGTACACATTTTATTCAATAACATGTCGCTTCTTTACACATGCCGCCTCTTAGTGATTTTTTTTTGCTCAAGAAATATCAAAACAACTTGATTTTTTTCATAATAAAAAACAAAATGTTGGCAAATTATCTGATTTTTTTGTGTAGATCCTCTTACTCCTGAATAGTCTTAACTATGTTCTTACATAAAGCACACAAATAATATTACTGTGATTGCATTTTGTAGGCCTATCTTAATTTTTAAAAATATTTTCAAGACTTAGATCTAGAATCTAGAGAATCTCTAGACTAGAGATTGTAATCTAGAGTAGAGTCTAAGTCTAGATCTAGAATCTAGACTAGACTCTACATCTAGATCTAGCTAGCTAGACTAGAACATAGATTCTAGACTCTAGAATTATTCTAGCATATAGATTAATAATACGTTCTGGTTAGGTCGACTTAGGACTTAGATCTAGTTTGTTATAGTCTAGAATCTAGATTCTCTATTCCTAAATCTAGGATCTATCTCACAAGTTTCAAACCAATACTTATAGTTCTAGATTGAGAAATCTAGTTACGTAGTGGGGTGTCCGGTGTTGCATGGGATTTTAAACTTCTTATAAATTAAACTACATTTGTCAGGGGCCGAACCTTTTGTTTGATATTAATTTAACTTGATTATAAATACCGTTGTCCGATAATAGACTCCTTCCATAAAATAGGTGTGTTGGGTTGTTAGTAGTATTGTAATCTCGACTAATTTTATGATTAGAAATTAGGGCTAGGCGTATTGTAGGACCAGGGTTGGGGTTAGTGTTAGGGACAGGGTTAGCATTGACATTAACCAGCCATGTATGTATAAACTACCAATAACTTAACACCCTTTTTTTTTAAAGAGAATTCATTATCGGACAAGGGTGTAAAAATTCTCCCTTAATTTCTTTATCAAAGTAAATCAGTAGCTCAGAAAATGTTATTACAACTGTGTTTAACTAAGCTAATTGTTAGGAAGTGAGATGATGAGACTGGGTTCGACGCTTGAAGGACAACTTGACTTTATATAAACAATGATTGATGATACAATAAGAATCGCTTTACAAGACCACAATTAATTCCCTCCATAGTTTATTGCAGTTACACGAAACATATCCACAACGACAAATGAATAATACATCTGCTCACTATCACAACAGGACGAAGACTGATTAAACTATTTTCCAAACAACAAAACCTACTCTCACATGTCATATCCTTCTGTGCCTCAGAATCTTCTATTAATATAAAACATTGCACAACACACATACTCTCATACCCATACAGTACACTAAAATACCGTTCACAACACTAATGTTAAAGATTTTTTTCAGAAATTTTGCATGTGTTAAAATTAGTGATGGGTCAAATCTAGTTTCAACTGGTTTTTAAAGATTCACACCCACACCTGTGGTAGCAATTGGTGCTAGTAAGATGATACAATTTTGTGATTACTTTTTAAATGAAATATCACTGACTTGAGCTAATATATCTATTCTCACAAATGTTATTTTTGTGTTAAATGTGCAAATTGTGCTGTTTTCAAATGTGTTATTTTTTTAATTTGTAAATCATTTCTTTTTATTATGTTTGCTTCATTAGTAAAATAAACCTTAATATTTATTTTTCAGGATTGGCAATGTGTTTCTGGTTGAAATAATTTATTCCTGTATAACTTCGCAAAGTTTTTGACCGATATATTTATTAAAATGGTTAAAGAAAGTGATTCAAATGTAGAGGTAAATTCTACATACTTGGATTGGATTTTAGAAGCCGTTCATAAAATAAAACACCAGAAACAGCGACCCAATAAAGAGAGAATTATAAATGCCATAAGACAAAATCATCAAGTTACAGAAGATTCTATTGTTGAACAACTAGAATTATCTGTACAAAGTGGAAAACTTTTGAGAGTAGAAAACAACAATGATTATACTTACAAAGACCCTGCTTTAATTTCTCAAGGTAAATCATTACCTCCAAGTAAATCAGCATCTCCAGGTAAATCAATGTCTCCTGGTAAACCGCTGTCTCAGGGTAAATCAAAGCAATCAGACAGCAAAGATGACTTAATGAAACTTGTTGTTCAGTGTTTAAAACAGTCTCATGATCCTAAGGGTCTCATGCTAAGATCCATTGAAAAATATGTCAATTCTAAATTAAAGAATAAGGATGAAGGGAAGCTAATCAGCAACCTGCGTACATTCATACGTAGAGCTGTACAGCAAGGTCAACTTAAACAGGTTGGCAAAATGATAAAGTTACCTACTACAGAAGATAGAAAAGGCAACAATCAGCCCTCTCTTGGTCTTGGTGACAGTAATGTGGAAATAGTTTTACCATTTGAAAGGAATAGGGTAATTATACATTTCTCATTTTTAGTGTATTTATTTACTTCATTTTTCAAGTGAAATTTTACCCTTTCACATTTAACATCAGTTACTATAAAGTATCAGCTGGGATTTTGTTGTAGTTTTTTTTTTTTTTTTGGACATATTATTACCTAGACAAAATTGTCCAATTTAGCCTTGATCATGCAAGTGAAACTTTCTCGAAAATTTCAGAAAGGGGGAAGGTTTAAACTAAAAATGCAGATTCTCTAAATAACATCTTTTGTTCAGTATTTTAATTGCTTTTTTATTGCATGATTGGCAATGCATGAAGCAAACCAGCTGGCTTCTTTTTCTTTATTGGCAGAGATGACCTTAATAAACATTCTTTTTTCTAGAAAAAGGCAACACCGCTAGTTTTGTGTAGTTTTTGCTTGGAAGGTGCAGATTCCAATAGAGAAGGAAAATGGGAAGATCTTATTTCTTGTGCTGATTGTGGTAATAGTGGTAAGTTGTTCAGAACTTTATTCTTGCATTGAACATTTTACCCATTTCACCCCATATAATTATTTATTGTAAGTGTGTTTGTATTTCATTGCTCTTTTCAAAAACAACCTTAGTGTTTTTTTGTGAATGAAGATGTTGTGTGTGTATACACACACTCGTAAGCCAATATAAAATATTTGTATATAAATATTATCAGTAACATATTATGTATTGCTATCCAAGATAAGTAGACTTAGATTTCACTTTATTTCATTTTGCAATTTTCTGGTTAGCTTATTGTGTAATCTGTTATTCCATGCACCTGTTAAAAATTATAAAATCTTTAACAATGTGTATAAGCTCTACCTATAACCAATACCTCTCACAAAATTAATTTTATTGATCTTCAATGATTTAAATAAATAATTTATTATTATATTATAATTTTTTGTCATATTTGTTAAGGCCACCCATCATGCTTAAAGTTTTCTGAAGAGTTGACTGCTAAAGTTCGTAAACTGAGATGGCAATGTATCAATTGTAAAAAATGCTCGTTTTGTGGAAAATCTGGAAAAGAGGTTTGTTTGAAAAAACTTTGTTTAATCTCATCAGACTCTAAAATTTAAAAACACTTTAGTATTTGTATTTGATAAAGCCTAAAAGAACTTTTTAAAATTGATCAGGATGACATGCTGTTTTGTGATTTCTGTGATCGTGGCTTCCACATGTCATGCTGTGATCCGCCCATTTCTAAACCACCAAAAGGTTAGTTGTCTGAATTTATTTATTTGCCTTAAATTAAGAAAACTAAAAGTGTCTAGATAGCTTAATTAATGTTGAAGAAGCATTACAAGTTCCAACCACTATCTAAAAATAAGGTGCAGTTCTTTTAGAATATGGTTCACTGATCATAAATAAATGTAGCATGCGTAACAGGGCTAATTGTTATTGTTAAGACAAAAGTTAGGTGATTATTTCCATTATGCTTACTTTGTATGTAAAATTACGGGCATTATTAAATGTGTATCAATAACTGAAAATGTTTTTGGTTTGGCAGCCCTGCTTAGTGAATTACTTTTTTGTCAAAATAAAAAAATAATTAAGCAGGGCAATGGAGGAGAAGCTGTTAAATTAGCCAAACCTGATGTCAGGTTTATCTACGTTACTAGGGTTAAGAAATGAAATTTCACTGATACAAGTCTTCTTATTAGGATTGTTTTTATTTCGTTAAGTTATTAGCATGCTTCTCAGAGACGTGTAGTTTTTTCATTTTTAATGTTTTAAAGAAATTTTTTTATATCATAGTAATGTAAATGCAAACTACACTATTTTTATTATAGCTTAAGAAAATATTTTCTTGTTTCAAAACATAATTTTTCAGTTGAACTTTCACCACTGCTTTTATATAAATCACAAACCATTTTTCTTACCTCATTTTGTGATTTCTATAGGTGACTGGAAATGTAATCTTTGTGATCCAGAACGTGGAAATAAAAAAGGAAAGCAATTTCTGGAAGCAGCTATGAAATATACATTAAAAATTAAGTCACAAATACATGCTACCTCCAAACAGAAGCTTAAAAAAGCCAGGTAACTATTAACGTTAAAAAAATAAATACATTTTATGTGTTTGATGTGTAGCTAAGCATTGTTGTAATGTTATAAATTAGAATATTCTTGAAAATATACATTACTAGTCTGTATACATGTGGTAAAAGGATGTTACTTCATGTTTCGTATGCTATTAATTAGTGGTAGCTTATTCAAATCATAACTTCTTATTTGCCATTTATGAAAAAAATGCCTCTTGCATATAGAACACTTAAAGCAATGTAGGTGTCCATGTTAAATTCTGTTGGTTATAGAGCCTCAAAAAACTGGAGATCAACTTTAAGTATGAGACTAGTCAGAATATGCTAGACAACAGCTTGTAATTTCAATGCATTTAAACAGTTGCACAAATCTAGAATAGCACCATAAGTGTAAATCTGCATACGTGTTTAAAATCTCCCTATCAGCTTAAATATTGGCTCCATGACTAATTATTTTTGCCCTTACACCCCGACATTTTTATTTTGTTTTCATCAGGTTATTCCAGGCTGCAAAACAGAATAAGATGAGAAGCAGCAACAAAAAAAAGAAGAGAAAGTCAGAAAGTGCTGATGAAGATAGTAGTGAAGATAATGAAACAATGAAAACAGATCTACTTTCCCCTAGTGAGTTTACACTCAATCAGGGGACTTTAGAAGCACTTAGTGTTCTGCCTGAAACCAAACATTTGGTTGATGGCCTTTCTCACTTTTTCACCCCCTCAAACAAGCGCTCATCACGTGTGTCCCTTTGTGCAATTCAACCTCCCCTTATTGGCATGGGTGAGGAAATAGTGAAAAAAAAATCAAAAAACAAATTAACTAATAGAAAAGATGTTAAGAAATCACGGAATTCTCAGCGCAGCACTCAAAAAACAGCTTGTAGGCTTATCAAACGTTCTAAATTAGTACATGCTTCAAGGGTGAGAAAGAAGAGTGGGGCACCACCACTTAGTGGCCAATTGCGGGGACTATTTGATGGTCTCTCTCAGTTTTTCAATGCAACAGGTGAGCGCAAGAGGACATTACCGGTGTATAATTGTAAAAAAGAAACTAGTTTGTCTAGCTCTAGTGCGAGCTTTCCACTATCCTCTTGTACTCAACACAGCTGTGATAGTAAGGGTTTGAATGTGTGTATAAGTGACAGGCAGGGATCTGAGTCTATTCTTTCATCATCGCGGCGTCAACTCTCCTGGTGGGATGAGATGAACCACCTCATGCAGATGACATTACAGGAGTTTCGACATTATGGGTCCCAACTTTTGGATGGTCATAATAGATGCTGGGCTGGTCGAAGGACGTGTATAGCTCAAGGCAGGGGGAATAACAGCCATTTGTTTAGGGGTAAGCTCTCGTCTCCCCTCCCAATCATCTGTAAGTGTGAGAATCAGTGAGTGACAAAACGTGTCCAGATTTTGTTAGCAGTAAATTTTATGTAGTGCACCAAAATGTCCTCTGTAGCTCCTGTTGTGTTGAATAGTCCATCCAGCAGATGGCTTTTTATTTATTTTCTATAAACTAAAATTGCTACTAACCAACTACATTTAACAATATTTTATATTAAATAATATTTTTTGGATAAAAATAGTATTGCTAATAAAATAAACATTGTCATTGTAAAACTAACTTAATATTAGATATATTTTCAATAAATTAGGTTGTCATTCTATGTGAAGACCCATTTGGTATAACTGAGTGTGAGAGTTCTGTCCAGTTGTAGCATTTGTTTTTGTTTCATGTACATTAAATAATGGCAGAACTGGTTGTGTGGTATTAACCTTTCTGTAAAACAGCCTTTTCTTACATTAACATTTTTCAGATACTATACGTACAAAAGCAGGAATGGTTTTACCATCATATGTGACAGAAGAGGATGTGGCTTTATTTAAACAAGCTCAAGAACAGTCACAGAAGGAATTGGATAAGGTAACATATCTAGCTTATTTTTCTCTAGCAACTTAGACACATTAAAGTGTTTGGTAAAAAGTGTAAAGATCAGTGTGTTACTTGTTGTGATTTTTAAATTTGAAGTATTAGTACTAGTCATTCAAGAAAAAATGTTTGTAAATGCAATTGTCTTACAGCAATGTACTCAAGAAGCTAATGGCCTAGAATGCAAAGTAGAAACTGGTCGTTACCCTCCTTGTATTGAGATGGGTCAGTACGAGATAGAAACTTGGTATTCGTCACCTTACCCACAGGAATATGCCAGGTAAGAGATACGAAATTAGTTTAGTCAACTTAAGATGTATTTTGTTAATGGTTTCCATTAGGTAGCTTGACCTACTTTTTTTACCATCATCATGATAATGATGACTGCCGAAAACGACGATACAGTGATTCCGTTTCTTTAACGTTTCATGGTGATTTCAGAAATATACTAAAAATCATTATTTTTGCATATTATTCAACGATACCGGTCTAGTTTTAACAATGGATGATTAGTGTGATGCAAACTTGCCATTTGTACATTTTTTTGGTCTAATCGCTGAGAATATCGAGCAGAACATAATAAAAGTAAGCAAAACGTGAATTGCTATATTTAATATTGTTCTAACCGTACTGAAAATATATTCTAAACTATAGAAAATTATAACTTGCTTTCTAACTAAACTAATGTCATTAATGTTTTTAAAATCATGCAGGGTAAAAAACAAAACCTATAAAAAAATAACTTGATCGAGACAACAGCTAACTAAGTCCGCCCATTTTGCCCGCCATGTATTTGCATGAGGAGAAATCTTGCAGGCGACACATTTCTGCTGAACGGTCAATCGCATCATAACAACACTCCTTAAAACCCACCGATTCACTGAAAATCAGTCATATCATCCTAGCCATTTAAAAACAAACGCCTTTTTTCACAAGTCATTTTCTAGGCTAACGATTAAATTTGATAAATAAAATTGGTATGAAATTAAAAGTAAATAAATGTAGTTTTTAATTGTTGTCATCTTGAACAATAATGAAGTTTAAAATCTTAGGCGACACCCTACCATTAGGTAAGTTTAAAGTTTAATTTGTTATAATTTATATTGTTCTATTTGCAGCTTACCAAAACTTTATATCTGTGAATATTGTCTAAAATACATGAAGAGCCGAAATGGACTTCATAGACATATTGTAAGTACAAAATGTGCATACATTTAATCTTAATATATTACATTTTTACTTTCTTGTGTACGAAGTATAAAGGAATTGCCTAAAGTAAAAATTGAGATTTTAATAAATTGCGCTGAGTAAAAAAAGACCACCTGGTTTTTTTTTTTTGCAATTTTGTTTGTGTCTGTGAACACATTACACAGGGTACTATTATATTATGTTGAAGACATTTCTTCTACTAGTATTATGCTGGAAGTGGTACTTATTCTACTTCCTGTTTCTCAAAAGCCAATCATTTGAGGACCGTTTAATTGAGGTAGACGAAATTGAACATATAAGTATTACGTTGTATATGCAGATAGCAAATTTAAACACTTTCCTGTAACTGCAAGTGGTATTTTATTCTATTTCGGTGGTAACTTAGTGCTGTTTGATTTTGGTAAAAGAAATTTCATGTATGTGTCTAAGATGTTATACTGAATTACTCTCAATTTTGAGTGACCTCAGATATACGGATGTTGTACTTTATTTCTGGTTTCTTAGTGTTAACATAAGTACAGTTTCAGGAAAATTGCATACATAGGTATCATATATTATTCTGTGGTTTCAAATTTTGAGTGATTTCTGGTGAACGAAATTACTTTATACTGTTTCTGCTTTCTCAGAAAACGTAAGAACTTATTTACGTTGATTCCTCTGTTTACAGTCTGTCATGGATGGGAATTTGCGAGCAAAATTTTATACAACTTCTACCAGACCGATTTCTTTCAAACTTCTCTTGTAGGCTAAGACTCGATAACAATGTATAAATTGTATTGAAACATAAAATGTTCTTAATTAGATGTTTAATGAACTTTTTAAAAATGAATCGTTTCCTTTTTAAAGCTCTAATTTTATACACTCATCGTTTTTATTCATTTGGTGCACAATTCTTTTTTCAATGCGATAATACTCTATTTTAAAAAATGTAATATACTTGAAAGTTTAGGAGAGATACTCCTGCTTTATTTATTCTTAGAACATACTTTTAAAGTAAGAAATTTGCATTGTCTTTGTAATGAGTATTTGAAAAAATAATTAACTAAATTAAAGTAACTGGTACATTGTTTAAGTTTTGTAAATGTTAAAAATGTAACCATAGGTCAAAATTCAATGTTTGTGGTAGGTAAGTTAAAAGAAATAATGTGTTTTTTATATTATTATTTTAAGGAAACACTGTTACTTGCACCTCAGCCAATGTTTAGTTGTGTATTACATATTAACCAAGGATGATTTATAAATCTTGTCTATTTCTAGGAAAAATGTCAACTAAGACATCCACCAGCAGATGAAATCTACCGTTGTGGTGAATTATCTGTATTTGAAGTGGATGGACAATCCAGCAAACTCTACTGCCAAAATCTTTGTCTGCTTGCCAAATTGTTTTTGGATCACAAAACTTTGTATTATGATGTTGAGCCTTTTTTGTTTTATGTGTTAACTGTCAATGATGAATATGGTTCTCACATTGTTGGTTATTTCTCAAAGGTAAGTCTAATAATTGTAATCTATTTTTTAAAAGTCTTATTCTTCTTTACCTTTTTTTCAACTCACAGTGGAGCATAGGTCATTTACACCATCCTTCCATGCTTTTCTGTATTTTTTCATGGCAACTAATGCCAAAAAAAAGGTAAAAGTCTGTAGTTAGGCTTCCTTCTAGGTTTGACTGATCTGCCTAATAGTTCCTTTTACAGGACCTCCTATCTCTGTTTACAATGCTGTAAAAGTTTTTCTAGCACTATTTTTTGCTCTGATGTATTGCATTACTAATCCAAAGCAGAAACCTTACAAACAAGTAGTTTTTATCTCCTAGAGAGCTTGTTTCCCACAGCTAATGAGTTTTATCTGCCTGGGGGTTCAAACCCTGGGCCTTTGGTTTAGTGATCATACATTGCTAAGATTTAGCAGTAATGCATATCCTTTTTTTAACAGCAAGAATTATTTTTCAATTTGTTATTTGGAAATTCTTTGTTATATGTAATAATTTTAATTACATTCTTCAGGAAAAACACTGTCAACAAAAGTACAATGTGTCATGTATAATGACAATGCCACAGTATATGCGCAAAGGCTATGGGCGTCTACTCATAGATTTCAGTATGTTCCCCTTTTTTAAAACTATTTAATAAAACAATTTTCTTATTATAGTTTTTGATCTGTGTGATTAAATGAATACAATTTTGTTTTTTGTTGTTAGGTTACTTGTTGTCTAGACGTGAAGAATGTTTTGGATCACCAGAGAAACCTCTATCAGCTCTTGGTGCTGTCAGTTACAAAGCTTACTGGCGCAGTGTCTTATTAGAACAGTTTAAACAATCTCAAACAAAAATCACAATTAAAAGTAAGATTAAAAAAAAATACAGGCTACTGATCTTGCAGAAACCATTTAGAACATTTCCTTTGTAGTTTTGTTTTACATAACATTAATGGTTATCAGAAAACAAAGAAAACATTTATAATGTTACTACAAAATTAAGCACCCAGATCATCTTGTTTATATAAAAAATTGTTACATTTTACTTTGCAGGTATCAGTGAAAGAACAGGAATTTGCCCCTTAGATGTTTTGCAGACATTGAAAGATCTAAAATTCTTAAAGCAACAAGGTGAAAAGTAAGTAAAATGGTTCTTTTTGTAATTTTTTTTAATACAATTCACTGTAACTTAGTAAAAAAATAATTCTTTGGTTCAGAAATATAAGTTTGCTTTTTTTTTTGAATGGAAATGGTCAAACTATATTTTCTTCAGACTTAATTCAGTCTGAAGTTTTTCCACCAATTCCATTTTTCTTCTTTTTATTTAACAATTTTTTTTTTACCAGTTTTATGTTAACATATTGCCATAGGTGTCTATGCTCTTTCTAAATTGTGTGTGAAAATAGAACATGACCATACATTTATTTTCATCACATTTACATATTACTGGTTTTTATGAAGCTCAGGAACACTGTTTCATCATAGTTTTGAAAAATATAACATTCCTAGTTTTTATTATACATTTCAAACAACTTCACAAAAAGTTATATTATTGATTTTAAGCAAAAAAACATTTTCTCTTATGTAGACCTGTGATAGCAGTGGACCATTCCATGGTAGAGGCCTATGTTGAGAAAGTAAAGGCTAAACCACATTTAACTTTAGATGAAGACAGCTTGCACTGGACACCTATCATTAGCAAGTCTTTTTTGACAGAGGAGGAGGAAGAGGCTGACAAACAGGTGAGTCTATTGAGTGATTTTTATTTCTATTATTCTTGTTAGAACTGACTCAATGAGGATCCCCTTAATCCAACAGGTTATACCCACCTGTTACTCTTTTCAATGCAATAATGGAATAATACATCCCTGATAGTTTCCCCTTAAATCACATTTTAAAAAAAAAATCCCTGGTATTTGTGAACAATTGAAGGAAGGGAATGAGCTACCAGAATTTATACATTCCTTAAAATTTGCATTTGAATTCTTAAACTATTCTAAAATAATTTATCAGTCAAATATTTATAGTCAAATTAAAAAAAAATGGTGATTGAAAAATATTTTTGTCTTTTGTTCTTGTTGTAACAGCAATGTTATATCCATTTCTGAAACCTCATCCAATTCTGTGTGCCTTGGTATTTTAAAAATTATATTAATGTTGATGTACCTAAAAATAATTTATCAAAAAGTGCATGCTATGAAAATTTTATAACGAGGATGTAAGAGTTTTTGGAATGAATAACATAATTTAAAGAAACAAATAGATAATTTTAACCTGACGTTCATAGAAGTCATTTTAAAAAGTTCTACTATATGTGTTATTAAAGAATATATTTTGTAGGTTTATTTTGAATATCAAGTATAAACTGTAGACTATTTTGAAATTGCCACTTTAAAAAGTGGTAATTAAGTTGGACATTGTTTTGTATTTTTTCCCTTAAAATTGTACATCTCTTTATTCTTCACTATTGAATTGTGTGGACATAACTGTTTGGTTTTATGTTGCATGAATTCAGTAAATATTGTGGCAAATTACCATTAATCAATATTAGAAACCCATTTGATATTTTAACAATTTCATAGCATACTTTTAGAAATTATGCAACAAGTGGTGGTATTTAGAGTAAGTATTACAATGATTTTTTTGTAAAATTTGTTGTGTAATGTACTGTTGCACTGCTTGATAAAGGTATTTGTGTCAGCAAGATATGGCAATCATTGTTTGATTGTATTTGTTGTAGTTGGTTGAGATGCGCCATGTGGTTGAGAGTATAGTGACAGAACGTAAGAAAATATCAGAAGAGCTGAAAAAAACTCCAATAAAAGATGAAGCCAAGATAGCTTCACTGTGTTCCCCTAGCACACCTGAAGAAGATCAGACTGATAAGGTAACAATATTTCCTAGTCCACCATTTTGGTAGAATTCTTCCACCACTATTTTTATATCTGATAGTCCTGACAGAATTTTAACCCTTACAGCCAAGACATTCTTTTAGCTCCCTATTCCCTCTGCCAGCATGTTATTTACAGTTTGTCTCCCTCATGTCTGGAGATTATTTTGCTGTACAGACAAATCTCATAGAGTTAAAATGTATGAGTTTTGTTTGGAACAACTGATGTTGGCATGTATAGAATTATTACAGTGAAATTGAATAAAGATTTTGAAAAAGTAACTCGTGAATGTGCTAACAGTATTAATTAAACACAAATATTTTATCATGATCTGCATCCAGAGTCGATGTCAGATGTTTAGAATAGGTATGTTGTCCAATTTACGTTTGAAATATTTACACCTAGATTTTGAGGTCTTGTTTAGGGTATTAATGTCTGGTTAACTAATATGTACTGTGAAGAGGGAAGGAAATTTAAAAAAAATACTCTCTCAGGACTGTAAGGGTTAAATATTCCAGAACTTTTTTTAAAACCATTTAATCCTACCATGTAATGTATCTAAAGTACAATACTGTAATATAAATAAGTTTCTTTATTTTATATGTCTATAAAGATTTAATTTTTTTTTTAAATTAACAACACACAAATAAATTAAAAATAGAGAAAAAATAGAAACTATAATAGTCCAATATTTCATGTCAAAAATAAAACTGCAGTCTGTAAAATGTACTTGTTTGGCGCATTTTACATTTTTACAGACACAGAAATATTCAAATAGTATAAATTATATTTCTCTTATGGATTCAAATAGAAAGAAATAAGTGTTCCAATCATTTCTATTATCTAATAAGCTACTGTTTTTCTGGATACAAGGGTTTGTGACTAAAATGTGTTATGCAATACAATGTCAAACGCTACCCATTTCTTTTATCTGCATCAAAGCCTGTGTATATTTTAATAAATTCAAGATAAAATAATCTTGAATAGAGATTCTCATATTAAAATAATTTTGTTCTATGATTAATAGCTACTCATAAATACCTACACCTTTTTCAAAATATAGGATAACAATTAGAAAATCTAGTATCTAAAAAGGCCTGTTTAAGAAATAGTTCCATTAAAGAAAAATGTTTCTAGTTTGTCAAGAAATAAAACATTCACAAAATATTTATTAAGCCATAATGTCATTAAGCAAAAAAATCTTTAAAAACTCTTTAAATGTTGCATATAATGTCTTGAAATTTTTAAAGATTTTGTGTTGTTACATATGCATGCAAATTGTGTGTGTATATTTATATATAATTTTTCATTATATGCACTTTTTTGGAAACACATAAAATAAAATTCTATCAAATATCAATGCATCTATCAACCTATTTAAAAATGTATTTTTTCAGTGGCCAAGAAGATTTGGACGTAAGAGATTTCCAAGCATGACTTGGGGAAACTCAGCTTTAAAAAGATTTAAAAATGATGGTATGTTGTGTGAATATATTTTTTTGATAATTTTCTTTTTTTTTTTTAAATGACCCAATCCCAAAATAGAAAATCTTTGCCTTAACCTTCACCAGAATACATACACTTTAATTATAGGTTTTTAAATATTGACAGGAAATCACTGCCTATATAGAAGTCTGCTAAACTTTTTTTCCCCAGGAGATCCTAAGTGTCCATTTGAATTTGAAGCTGATGAAGACATGCCTCCCCCACCTCAACTTCGTATGGAAAAATCTCCTGCCAGGACATCATCCCCTCTAAGTCCCATAAGCCCGTCACCTTTCCGCCCCAGCTTTGACTCTCCTGTTAAAACTCCAGATAAAAAATGGCCAAGAAAAGCAGAAGAAGTTGTGAGAAAAGTTCAAGGGAAAAAGAAAATGAGGCGCAAACCAGGAAGACCACCCAAAATGGATGGTGTTTCTTCTGTGCAAAAGATAAAGAATAAGTTAGGCCGTAAGCCAGGTCGACCTTCATTGAAGGACAACAGGAAAGAAAGGCCATTGAGTAAACAGGGTCGACCATTCAAACGAAAACCAGGAAGACCTCCTAAAAAAGCAGATGAAATGGAAGATTCAGTTGTCAAGAATAGTGAAGATGATGTTAAAAATAACAAAGTGCCTGGCAGAAAACCAGGAAGACCTCGCAAGGTAGGTTGAACTTACATATTCAGGGTCATCCAAATTAATGTATGAAATAAATTAAAATCAAGAAAATCTAATGTTTGTTACAAATTGGTAATGAAGAATGGAGTTTGTAATTTGTAACAAAATCTACTGAAACGAACCAGAATTAGGCTATCAAGCTAAGATAGATTTTTTTGTTGTGTAAATTGTGTGGTCTTACTCAAAAGCTCACTATTATTCCTGATTGATTTCTACTCCTATTTTATTTGTCTCGTTTTTTTTTACACATTACATTTATAATTTGAGACAATTTTTAAATAGTAAATAGTTTTAAAAAACGAGATTTTTTTGACAATCTGAACAGTGCAAAATTGGACTACAAACTATAAATAAGTGATAAAAAATAACATTAGCCTATTTCATCCACAGAACATGACAAAATCAAGTGGTCAAGCGGAAGAAGAGGCTGCTAGTCACAATGAAAGTGATGAAGAGGTGGAAGAAAATAAAAAAGAAGAAACATTAAGCCAAGATAATGACTTCTTGCCGAGCCATTCTACGGTCACTACAAGTCCGAAAAGCAACAAAGTTATTGATGAGTATATTGATTCATCGTCTACTAGTGACAGCAGTGATTCATCCAATTCTGACACTTCAGACTCGGATGATGACGATGATGATGACGACGATGATAATGATGGCGATAATGATGACTCAGAAGATGAAGAAAAGACTAAACCAAAGGTTGTTGAAAGTGGGAAACCAATCGAAAACAATAATAGCATCACCGAAATGACCAGTAAAGTTAGGCGGTTGTCAGCATCATCATCTGATGATAGCGATGCCATTCCCAGGGTGAGTGCTGTCATAAGGCACAGTGTTGAGAAACTGAGTGATGATGACAGTGGTCATGAAAGGAGGGTCACAACACAAATGTTCTCTGATAGTGACAGCCAAGACCAAGCTCAGGCCACTGTAGAAAAGAAAGAGGAGCCTGCAAAGGAGGAGGAAAAATCCCCTGTGGATGTGAGAGAAGAGAGAGAGGAAGATGAGGAGACTAAAGCAGCAAGTGAAAACTTAGCTGAGATCGTTAAAGATTTGGAGCAAGCTGACAGTCCCCAGGCTAGTGTTGAATCTTCCTCGTTTGGCAGCATAGACGAGCTAACTGATGCTTTTAGTGACGCTCAGTCTCCCAGTGATCCCTTGATTCCATCTTCCCCACCGCCGGCCCCTGCACCTGTCATAGTCAACAGTGATGACGAGGACCTCCCATCCCCTGCTGGCAGCATGGGTAGAGCTCCAACCCCACAGAACGTTAACCTACAGTCTGACTCACAAGTGGGCAGGCAGTCTGTTGACCCTCTGCTCTCATCTCCCTCACACATGCATCAACCTATTCAACAGGTGACGTTAATGTCTCCGGCTGTACAACAAAGCATGATGTCCCCATCTGTTCAACATTCTTCAATGATGTCCCCTTCTATTCCACAACAGACATTAATGTCTCCGTCTATTCCACAACAGACTTTGATGTCACCATCAATTCCACAACAGACATTAATGTCTCCTTCAATTCCACAACAGACTTTAATGTCACCTTCTATTCCACAACAGACACTTAGGTCACCATCAGTTCCTCAACAGACGTTAATGTCTCCAGCTGCACAGAACAAAAATGTGACTGGGATGTTTCCAGGGTCACCCATTTTAATTTCAGCCTCGCCTGAAGTTAAGCAGCAGCCACGCACACCGTCCCAGCAAATTCCCACCTCTTCACCGTATGATGACCCATACCACAGTGTAGCCTCCCTAGCCTCACCTGCACAGCTCACATCACCTGGCCAGTTGACCTCGCCCTCCCCCTCCCATCTTTCCTCACCAGCCATGAGTGGGCATCAGGAAAAGCACACAATGGACACATCACCTCAACAAAAAACACACTCTTCCATGGGGATGACGAGGCAAAATAAGTCTGCCTCAGCTCGTTCCCAACAGAGGTCAAGATCTTCAGGTCAAGGTCGTGTGACCCAAACTTACCTCCCATCAGTGTCAACAGGGGCAAATGTTCAAAGCTTGCAGCAGCACCAAGCCAACTTTGATGTCTCTCAGCTGGCCGCTGACATGGCATCAGAACCTAGTCAGCATTCTTCACTCACACTTAACTATGACTGTGCACAAAACATGCAATATTGTAACAATGGTCAGAGCAGGAATAGTTTTATGGACACTGTCAACATGGGTGGCCTGCATGCCCACTCGAGTGGTTCTGGGTACCTGAGCCAGTCAGTGGCAACAACAAGCATCAACTACCACCATCATGGCTCTCCTATTTCTACATACCCACCCTCACTGCAGCAGCAACAACGCACACAGCAGTCACTGCACCAAAATTCACCTCGTATAATTCCAATGGTAGTTCAGCAAGCCATGCTGCAGGGAAGCAATGTCTATCAAACTCAACAACCTAATAACTGTGATCTAATTAAACTCCAACAATTGACAAACCGCATTCATGATATGCCAGTAGATAACTTGCCAGCACAGAACCTCACCCCACCACCACCTTCATCCATCAACATGACCCCACCCCCCACTGTCATGATGCGGTCCATGACACCAGTTCCTCCCCATACAGCCCTCATGGGTCAACCTTCAGCGCCAGTTTACAAACGGCAACGAACATCGTCGTCCACCTCCCGTAAAGCTCCCACCGTAAGCCAAAGCAACCCTAATGTGACAATCAACCCTAACATGACATTGACTCCCAACGTGACCATCCAGCCTGGCACTGGAGGAATGATCCCCAGATATTTCCCTTACAGGATGCCCCAAGGCATGATCAACCCCAGCTACATCACAGCTAACTCACAGAGTTTTTTACAGCCGCAACAAATTCCAATGCAAATGATGAACGTCAGCCCACAGACTGCTTTTCAGCAACAAACTGGCCAACCAGGGAACCCAACCACTGTTTATACCCCTTATTATATTAATATGAATAATGTTATGCGCAGATAAATCATCCATTGGCACTATCTAACTTCATTTTCTGCAATTAAAATTTTTATAGTAAATTGTCTTTCAAGGGTTTCATTAAATCTTTGTGCACTGACCAGAATGTTTTAAGTTTCATTTGTTGATTAACACTACATATTTGTCTTAACCCTTTTAGCTTAGCTTGATATATTCATTTAAATAGGATGATATTTGCACTGATTAATTTTTATTACCTTAAGTAATACAGTACTAATTGTGATTTAAAAAAAAAAAATTTAGTGGTACACATAAGTTGTAGAGTAAGTCCACTAACACTTTGTGTCGTTAATGAATTTAATCCCAGCACTGTTGTGAGGGAGAGAATACAATTATTACAATGCACCAAGTAAAATTGTTTCCACTGCTATACATGTATAATAATTGACAGTCAAGAGAAATCTATTACTAGACCGATAACATTCACTGTCAGAACTAGGTTGCTACATACTATGTTATATACGGCCTGTAATTATTTTGACTTCTTTTATCGCCAGTTTTTTGTTAATATGTATTCAGATCACATTCACTTCTGAACAGTGTTTGATCTTTTTAATGGTTAAAAATGTATTGTTTGTTTAAAGCGTAAAACACATGTATTGACCTCGATTCTAATACTTGTACTATATCTACTAGTAAGTTCTGATTTTCAACCTTACAGGGAAATAGCGTATAAATGATGGCTTTAGGGGGTCGTCCATAAATGACGTCACACTAGTAGGGGGTCCGTAATTTAATTTTGTGATGGGGGGGGGGGGTACAGATGTTGTGACGTCACACTTTTGCATTATAAAAAAGCAATGTTAGAAAACTAATTTTAGCCGTTATTTCGCTTTTTAGAAAACTGTTTTAATAAATTCTAATAGGATTTAATTAAAATACTCTATGCTGACAGAGTTCAGACAAGATTTTGGAAAAATATTGTATTTTAAGAAAATTCAACTTCAATTTTGAGGGGGATTGTAGGCTGAGATGTGAAGTCATTTTAGGGGGCGGGGTTCTGGCTTTAGTGACGGGGGGGAGGGGGGGTGGTAAAAAAGGTCAAAAAAAAAACGTGATGTCATTTTTTGATGACCCCTAAAAAATCCAGATAACAATTAACAAATCAAAGATTTTATGAAAACATTTGCATTACTTAGCAAAATTAAGTCGTCACAACACGTTTGGAATATCTTTTTAAAAGTCGCAGCAACGTTTAATGAAAAAAGTGAACAATTGAAAAAAATTCAGCTAGAAAACCAATGGTATAGCAAGTAATATTCTACTAATATCAACATCCACTCCCAACCCACTGGTATGACGAAACCTCAGGTACTCAGTTTCTTAAAAGGCGTTGATATTTCCCCATTGTTGAGTGAGGCTTTCTTCGCCAAATACTGTTCCATGTGTAGTTTCCAAAGTGACAATAGGTCTCCCATATTGGACGGGAAGGTCAGACCAAACTGACCAGTTACGATATCCGCGCAGTAAAATCCGCTGTCGATACAAATATCCAACGGGCAGCCTTGACCGATTCCAGCTATAAACCCTACACGAATTATGAAAACTGTAATATAGGGTAGCCCACATGTTTAGCTACATAAAGCATTATGTGAACTATTAGTCGTCGTCTTCGTCCCCCCCCCCCCCCCCCACACACACACACATGTGACCTAGCACCAAAGTAAAAACCCTTGTTTCGTGCTTTATGTAACTGGACGAGCATTGCTAAAGGGACCAGTGGCCATTTGCTATTGGAAAAACTTACCTCCAACAAAGGCACAATGAACTCCATAATGATCTACAATAGGGTGTTTTTTCTTGAATGGTGTCTTATGCTTGGACGTTACGTTGGAATCTATGGTTTAAAAATTCAGAATCATTGCGAAAATTGTTTAAATACGGTAATTTTAAATGTTTCAATATTTTTGTTATACGTATTCTGCGTTATAAGTCTGATATATATATATATATATATATATATATATATATATATATATATATATATATATATATATATATATATATATATATATTCCGCTTTAATGTAAAAGAAAGCCTTTGCATGACCTGTAACATAGACCACATTTCCGTTGAATACTACGACTGTGCACTGTTTTTTGGAGAGGGACTTGATCCAGGCAGCAATGTGACTAGTTTGCCTAAGTGTACTCACACACTGTGGAGACATAGAAAATGCTGGGGTGACTCACACAGTAAATGAAGATAGAGTTGCGTGTCCACTTTAGTGCCAAGTTTAGCGTTACCGCACCCATTCAGAGTTACACCTACCAAGTGTCGCACTATCCAATAGTAACAATTGGTTTAAGAATGTCGCTCTAAGCATTTTAAGGTCGTTCTTATCTTCGCAGAAAGGCAACCCCCTCTTCATTTCTACTCCCCCCCCCCCCTCCACCCAAAAATAATTACACAACTCACTGCAGTGTTATTTAAAAAGAGAATGTCACGCTGCAGTTGTCTAATCGTGGTCAACCAAGGTTATATAGCCAACAACGATCTTTTTTTTATATACAATGAACAAAAAGTAATTTGTAAAAGCGAAAAAAAAAACGGTTAAAACTCAGTATAGAAAGTATCCCTACTTTGTAAAAATGCAAATATCACACCTCATGAACCCCCTTCCTATCGTCACCAATGTTCGACCCCCCCCCCCCCCCCACCCTTCCCCCAAATAGCTCCTCTCATTAAAATTAAAGTTCGCGTCAGCTAATAGAATGTCAGTTGTAGGTTAATGTGCCTTTCCTAAACGATTAACACAACACAAAACCAATTAATTATGCCTTGTTTTAGAAGAAAAATAAAACAAGAAATATGAGAACAATCTCAATACTCACCATAAGATTCTTGTTCTGTTTAAAACACGAAAAATTATATATATATATATATATATATATATATATATATATATATATATATATATATATATATATATATATATATATACAGATAGACAGACAGACAGACAACAGAGAGACGGGTAATCGTAATCAGACAAAAAGACAGACAGACAGACAAGCAGACAGGCGCTCAAACAGACGGACGGGCACGTTGACGGAAAATATTACCTAGCAAGTTGATTGTAAACAAACTAATGGTTAAACTTACTGAGATGTTGAAAATCTGCATCAATGCTTTAGCACTCTGGGGAGAATTCAATGAAGTGAGTCTGAATGACATTGGGTACTAGCAAGCACAAGCTTTGTCACGTAGAATCCCGTAACTCAATACGTGACAGGCTATGACCATCTAACGCGTCGGCCGAGAATTTCGAAAATACTTTTTCTACGTTCATAATTTTAGTGTTGGATGGGATCCCGTCCAGCACAATTAAGTATACGTGTCAACTGGTTATGCGCCATTGACTCCGATTTCAGCCTGCTTTTTGGATTTGCTTCCATTGCCTTTGTCCAACCAAGAACAAACTACAAGGCAGCAGTTGTTTGATTTGGGGAGTTGTTTCTCCTGGAAGAGTGGCTGCCCACAGCTAACGAGCCTCATCTGCACGAGATGTATGTCTAAAGGCCTGTTATTGTGTACATACTTTATAGGTTGTACATACATTAAAGACCTACACACAAATGACTTCCTTCACAAATAACCCTAGCTTTCCCCCCCCCCCCCTCCCACTTGTACTTACCGATGCTGTAACGAACATGAGTTTTCGGTTATCTTGTTGTAACACAGCACATTGTAACCAAATCCTTGTGATTTTCGGGAGACCCCCCCCCCCTCACACATACACCACACACATTTTATGAAGTCCAGATACCAGTATCTGCCAATGAAGCTGTTTATAGCTGGTGGGCCTACCCAATGATGACCTAACTTGTCTGTAAGTGTACGTGTGTGTGTGGTGGGGGGGGGGGGCGGGTCACGACTTACCCGTTTATTGAGAAACAAAATGTCCGCACAGTTCAAGATGTCGCACACGTTGAGTTTAGCCCGGGTCAAAATGTCAACGTTCGACAAATTCACAGCCAGGACTTTAAAGCTTGCCGAGCAGTAATAGGAAAACTTTTGAGCTGCTTTTGGCGTCATTAAAATGCTCAAATCCTGGAAGGGAATGGTTTCAGGAAAGATATAAATAGATTAAAGACCAAAGTAAATGTGAAAATAGACACAAAGATAGATGGACTACAGAAAAATGATTACGTTTGATTGGAAGATGGACCTTACAGAAAGAATGTTTGATTGGAAAATGGACCATATAGAAAGAATGTTTGATTGGAAGATGGACCTTAAAGAATGTTTGATTGGAAGATGGACCTTACAGAAAGAACGATAATGATTGGAAGATGGACCTTACAGAAAGGATGTTTGATTGGACGATAGACCTTACAGACATAATGTTTGATTGGAAGATGGACCTTACAGTAAGAACGATAATGATTGGAAGATGGACCTTACAGAAAGAATGTTTGATTGGACGATAGACCTTACAGAAAGAATGTTTGATTGGAAGATGGACCTTACAGAAAGAATGTTCGATTGGACGATAGACCTTACAGAAAGAATGTTTGATTGGAAGATGGACCTTACAGAAAGAACGATAATGATTGGAAGATGGACCTTACAGAAAGGATGTTTGATTGGACGATAGACCTTACAGACATAATGTTTGATTGGAAGATGGACCTTACAGAAAGAACGATAATGATTGGAAGATGGACCTTACAGAAAGAATGTTTGATTGGACGATAGACCTTACAGAAAGAATGTTTGATTGGAAGATGGACCTTACAGAAATAATGTTTGATTGGACGATAGACCTTACAGAAAGAATGTTTGATTGGAAGATGGACCTTACAGAAAGAACGAGAATGATTGGAAGATGGACCTTACGGAAAGGATGTTTGATTGGACGATAGACCTTACAGAAAGAATGTTTGATTGGAAGATGGACCTTACAGAAAGAATGAGAATGTTTGACCGAGACAGCAGTTTGCTGATTGACGGCCTGTCAACGAACGATGTACTGAAGGAAGAATTCGCATCCACAAAGTATAGCTCGCACCACCTGTAATATCGAATTGATGACTTGTTCAGTGATAATAACATCAGTAGCTAACAACTACAGGACAATAGATAATTTAAAACGTCAGTAGCTAACAACTATAGGACAATAGATAATTTAAAACATCAGTAGCTAACAACTATAGCACAATAGATAATTTAAAATACATCAGTAGCTAACAAATATAGGACAATAGATAATTTAAAAACATCAGTCGCTAAAACCTATAGGACAATAGATAATTTAAAAACATCAGTAGCTAACAACTATATAGGACAACAGAGAACAGCATTTAAAGCAACATTGATCAACACTTAAGAAATGACTAGCGAGGAGCATCAGATGGCTGATGTGTAGGGAACATTCCTTGGGGCAGTTGCTGACCAAAAAAAGTGCACGGGGGTTGGGTGTAAGTGGGTGAAGAGAAAAAGGGTAGTACTATCATTTGTGACCATTGGTTGGTCCTACATTGTGAGGCTGTAAAATAAATAAATAAATAAAATTAAAATTAAATTTCCTCTTTTAGACCCAACGATCCATAAGCAAATGAAGTAGAGTTGTTGCATAACCTCGGCATATGAAGGAATGGTATGGTCAACACTATTCCCTGCCGCCTTTACTTTTACTAGCGTGAGTCAGGTAACCAAAGGGTGGATGGTCTCAGCAGGGCCGGCGCTACCTATAAGGCGAACTAGGCGGTCGCCTAGGGCGCCATCCCTAGTTGGGGCGCAAAAATGTGTAATCGCCATTATCAAAAAGTACCTAATAATTACTAACTTTGATTATCTTTTATAAACTATAGATGGCAATATACAAAGGCTTAGCAATCTATTTCGGCGAATCATTTTTGCACCCCCACCCCAAATTGGGCTTTTATAGGCCTACATTTATTCGAGATGGTTAAAATGCACCCCCAACTCCCTACTTCGTATTTTACTTTATTTCAAATGCGTCCCATTATTTTTTTTTTATTTTTATTTTTTTTTTTTTTTTTGCGTCCCATTATTTTGGGGATTTTTTTTTTTTTTTTTTTTCAGTAATAATAATTTATTTGATAGATTTTACACAGCATCAAAGACATGAACATCAATTGCATATATAATAATCAAATGGAGAAAATAAAATGGCATAAGAACTAGACTAAAATAAGGTGTGCAAACTAGGCCTCTCCTGACTGCTTAGTTTACTGTGCTCTGTCCTTAGCTGAGGAGTCAAAAGTTCACATTGTAGACAGAAATAGAAACCACCGTGGGAGAAGTGTCTCTGTAATACACATTACTGATCTATCATTCCAAAACTTTCCATGACACAAAATTGACCCCTGGCAAAGAGGGCACGCCACCCTGAAAAATCCGCCAGTCCGGCTGAGTGGAGGGAAGTGTGTGTGTGTGGGGGGGGGGGGGGGGGGAGGGTGAGGTGTGTATTTCTTTCTACCATTCAGGTTGTGCACTTTTAAAAACTTGGGAAACAGAAGACTGTTCTAATGTTAAATTACTTGAGGGCTGATCGAGTGATGTTTAGCTTGAGACTGTCGATATTAATTATGCATCTAGTTTATTTGCTTCCTCTGTAGTTCCAATTTTAGTTTCCTGTAAAAGTAGGATGTCAATATTGTGTTTATTTATTATGTTGTTTATATAATGTGTTTTGTCCCTAGCCCCCTGATGTTCAATGTTGCCAGATTTAGCATGAATTATTTGGGGTTTTCTTTCGAACATCTGTTTCTGGAGGGCTGGATGGTGGTGGTCTTTTAATTCCAAACCTTCCAGCCGTTGGTTTGCTATCCCGTTGGGCCCTGGTCACGAACCTTTGAGGTGGCTTTACTGTAGGTAATTGATTTTTACTTGAACTGATTGCTTGACTATATGACAGTTGACCTGATACCTTTGTTGCTGACATACTTTGTGAGCTTTTAATTTCCTTTAGCGGTTTCGTTATGTTTTCTGAACTAGAGTTATCTTGAAGAATATTAGTTATTGTTTCGTCGACAGCCTCCAAATTTTCGTGATTCCCATCTTTTTGAGACCCGGTTACTATGGAATTCCTGGTTGCTATTGTCTCCATGGCTTCGGCCTCTATGGTGGTTTCTGTTACGCTTTCGTTAACTTGCTGCGGTGCTACAGTAGTATGATGTGCTTCAGTTTGGCCATCTACTTCAAAGGCATCTTGTACCTCTCTGTGCCTTGCTTCTCTAAGCATTTCATTTTGTCTTTCTCCGTCAACATCATAACTGTTCCAATGCTTTAAGAAATTTCTATTGTTACTTAGATGCTCCCTAACTTCTTCTTTATCATTTGCATCCCCAAGGCTCAATTGCCCTGTACTGTCCATCTACTAGCTGGGCGCCGTCAAGAGCGCGAGTCCTCAAATGCTCACACATTTTAGGCAGGTGCCTGTCTGTGTTGCAGTGGCAACATTGCACCCTCCTCCCATTGAGGATTATAAGGACTCTGCTTTCTTTGTTGGCCTCATTTGTAAGTATAATATAGTGTGGGACACTCTCCACATCTTCTTTCTCCAGAGAGATTATTTTGGGGATCCAAAATTAAATGTTTCTTTAACATAACAGCTCAGTGCATGTGTGAATGTCATCAATATTGACAAGAAGTTTGTTAAAATAAAGCTACTATGTTTATACTTTCAAACAAACTACAGTTAAATAGTCAATTGGTAAAATATATTGTTTTGACAGATTACATAATTAATATTTTTAAAAGTTAGGTATAATGATTATGTAATGAAACTTAAAGAGTTTTATTGTGTTTTTCAAGCATGTCTTAGTTACACTTGGTTAATTTAGCTATTCTTGTGAAAGTTATTTCCCTTGAATGAAATTTTGGTATTAGGATTTCAAAATGGGAGAACATTCGTTCTTTAACTCTATATTCATTTCAAATTCCTGCAACTTAGATTGACTGCTTACTCATAAATACAACTTTAAGTTATTATTTACTATTGTAAAAAATTATATAAAACAAAAGTTCTAAACAAAATAGTTTGGTAGGTTGTTTGTTTTTTTCAGCATTATCAAGTTGAAAAACAAATACATCAGTAGCCGTTATAGGTTGCAATACTTAATATTAGTAGACATATAGAATGAGATAGTGCAAGTAATGCGTCTAAAATCATTTTAGTCGCAAATTGGTCATCTGATTAATTAAGGGTCTTTTTGATATTTTTCACCCTCTCTTAAAGTATTATAATTGTAGGCTGAAATCTATAACATTTATAACCTTTTATTTTCAAACACTAAAATTCGTTACATAATCACACATTTAGACATTTTACAATCATAACTAAAGACAGTCAAGTTTAAAACAGGTAAGTTCCGTTCTGGAACTCACCCTGGGAGGTCTGCAGGCGAAGGAGGCAATTAAAATTTGATTTTGAATTTTGATGTCTACATATTAATTATAACGTTTATGCAATCTGTTATAAATTAATATGCCACCGATAATTCATTGTTTTCTTATACAAACGTTTTAGTAATTAATTTGTGTAAAAGGGGGCGTTTTAATAAGTTTTGCATAGGCCGCTAAATAACCTGGTGCCGGCTCTGGGTCTCAGAGACTTCCTGCAGAAACGAGTCCGGACCGAGATACGAACTCTAGACCTTCGGGCTAGCAGTCGAGCGCTCTGCGGCAGAGGCGTAGCGACCCTTCCCGGCGCCCGGGGACAAACTTTCGATTTGCACCCCCCTCGAACTTTTCCTTTGCACCCCCCTTCGAACTTTTCATTTGCACCCCCCCCCCCCCCCTCAACTTTCAATTTGGCGCCCCCCTAAGGTCGGCGCCCGGGGACATATGTCCCCCCCCCTAGCTACGCCTCTGCTCTACTGGCCAAAAACGCCGTCCCAACAACCAAATAAACTGCGGTGTAAAACTTACTTGTCCTTACAGTACAAGATTACCATAACATTTGTCTTTGATTTGTGGTTTTCTTCCAGCTGAAAACCTAGATGGGACTCCTTGAAGACGTGGACGAGCTGGATGCTCATGTCGTCCAAAGCTTTCTCGCCCAGAAATATGAGAGAACGTGGCGTGTGTACCATTGCCTGAAACGGTTACCAGAATTCGGGGTGCAGAAATAGGTCTTGTTTAAAAGTACTTTAATGATTAATGCTAAACTAATTTTTTACTTGAATAAACTGCTTGGTTGATTGACAAGAATTGTGGCTGGCAGAACTCTTTTGCCTTGGGTTAACAAAAGTAAAAAGAAAATAAACGAATCCTCCCTGTCCTGGTGGTCTAAAGAGCACATAGGGGCCTATGTATCATCGGCATGTGAAGGTAGGCCTACCCATCAGAGCTGGGTGATGTCACACCGACACGACCCATTTCGTTGGTACAAACATAGCCTTACGACATTCAGAAAAACATTTGTAGTTGTTTCCCTTTAATAACAAAACAGAAATACGAGGCTAATAATAAAACATCCTCATCCGTGTTTCTTTCAGACTTCAGACACTTTTTTTCTCGGGGGGGGGGGGGGGGCACTTGAAGTTTTTGGGAACGGAGGGGGGTCTAAATTTCCCAGGTGGGGGGACACTGGTAAAAGCATATATATTTATTTCGTTCGGGGGGGGGGGGAGAGGGGGAAACACTGCTCCTCTTGCTATAAACCAATATTAAAAGTAATTTATATAAAAAGTTATATAAGAAGCTTTGTACCAGAGATTAAATGTGAAAACTGCTTTGCTTTGGCTTATGTAGCAAGGCACAAAAGACGGTCAGTTCTGTGTCTTCTAAAAATGTAAACTAAAAACAAAAGATTGAGTGCTCAAATAAAACCCCTTACCTGTGCTGATCTGGCAATGTTGAGCGCAGGACCCCCGCAGTTGATGTGATAGTCATTTGGAAACTTGTCTAGTGCATCGTTCAAGCTTGTGGACAGAACAACGTAAACATGGGAGTGCAGGTGTATTACAGTAAGTCTAAACGTGGGTTGGAAAACTTTACACTAGACCGAATAATGAGCTTTTGTAATGCTTTAGCTAGTTGTATGATGGCTTTAGCTAGTTCTATGATGGCTTTAGATAGTTCTATGATGGCTTTAGCTAGTTCTATGATGGCTTTAGCTAGTTACATGATGGCTTTAGCTAGTTCTATGATGGCTTTAGCTAGTTACACGATGGCTTATTTAGCTAGTTCTATGATGGCTTTAGCTAGTTACATGATGGTTTTAGCTAGTTCTTTGATGGCTTTCGCTAGTTACACGATGGCTTATTTAGCTAGTTCTATGATGGTTTTAGCTAGTTACACGATGGCTTATTTAGCTACTTCTATGATGGCTTTAGCTAGTTCTATGATGGCTTTGGCTAGTTCTATGATGGCTTTGGCTAGATTCTATGATAGCTTTAACTATATTCTATGATAGCTTTAACTATATTCTTTGATAGCCTTAGCAAGATTTTATGATAGCTTTAGTTAGATTTTTATGATGACTTTATGTAGATTCTTTGTGAGCAAAATAAAATGACACCTCTGTACCGAACTGTACTATACTCAAATGAATGCTACACTTACATGTCTTTCACTTTAGCATCCATCCAGTAAGATTTCCCAAGTTGTAAATCATGGCTGAAGTACAGGGCAAACAAAATATTTAGAAACCAATAAATAGGCCTATACAGAGTTTCTTTCATCACTTCAAGCACCCGCCCCCCCGCCCATGTGAACGATATAGACTTTATGTAGAAAAATAATTAAAATATGCTTTTACTTGTGTTCGTCCCGTCCCCCCATCAAAAATTTAAAAGCCCAACCCCCCCCCCCCCCGCCCACTCAACCTTAAGAAAAAAGTCTGAAAGAAACACTAGGCCTACATAATGTAGACGGATTTAATGTAACTTAAAATTGTGAACTTTAAATCTTTGGTTACACTCATGGTTCCTCATCATCTTTTCCTTTCTGTGCCCAAAACTCACGGAGCCGCCACACTCGTAGTTCAAACTGTATAATGTCCAACTTATACAACTGTTAACAACACGTGAAACGGAAATCTTAGTGTGATGTTTAAAGTATGACTTCGTTGCCCTAGCGTGATGTTATTTATTTTTTTAAACTAGACAAAACATTGTTTTAGCAATAATATTTCGATGTAGCCCCCCCAAATCAACGTCACCCGGCGCGGACCGCACCCCGCCTATGTGACGCCACTGCGTATAGGACTCACAAATGACTGTCAGTGCAAAAATTTTCCTCTCACCTTTTCAGAAATGGTTTGGTCACTTTGATATTGTATGTGAGAAAAGGGTGACCAAACACTATACATTTTCATGGTGCCAGACCTGAAATATGAAGGTTTCACATAATACATTTCCACAAGTTCATAATACATGTACACTATTACATAATACATGCAAGCAATTACATAATACATATACACAATTACATTATACATATGCACATTTAAATAATACATACACACAATTACATAATACATGTACACAAGTACATAGTACATGCACGCAATTACATAATACATGCACACAATTACATAATACATGCACACAATTACAAAATGCATATACACAATTACAAAATGCATATACACAATTACATAATACATTTACACAATTACATAATGCATGTACACAAGTACATAATACATGTACACAATTACATAATACATGCAAGCAATCACATAATACACATATAAAATTACATAATACATATACACAATTACATAATACATTTACACAAGTTCATAATACATGTACACAATTATTTAATGCATGTACACAATTACAAAATACATATACACAATTACATAATACATGTACACAATTACATAGTACATGCACGCAATTACATAACACATGTAGACAATTACCAGGAGCTGAAGGAATGACCTTTGCTTGACGCATTTTCTGGAAGTAGTTCATCGTCGTTAATATGCTGGAGATTTTAAAAATATATTTGCATGGTTGAGTATAAGAATAGTGGTTTTTTTCTTCTTGAATTTAAATGGCATGAAATTGAAGTACATATATTGTGTTTCTACGTACGTATAGGCCTACCGTGTGTTTTTAGTGTGGCTAAACATATAACATACATATAACATCGGTCTTTGTGTTTTAACACAGATACTTTACCTCGTCTGTGAAAAATGACGTCTGGGATGGGTCCACTGAGGTGGAAGTGAAATCTGAAATGCTGCTGCATGGAGTTTTTGTAACTTAACATTTGTAATTTCGTCCTTGGTGGGTGCCTAGAATTATTTGCTGTAAAACAAAACTGGGAGGAGGGAGGGGGTGTCCAGTTAGTGGGACGTCACACTTTTGTATTTTTAAAAAGTAAAGTTTTTTTTCTGTAAAGTGTAATAGAAATTCATTAAAATTGATATTTAAAAAAAAAATCAAGCTTCAATTTTGAGAGAGGTTGTAGGTTGAGGCGTGACGTCATTTTAGGAGAGAGTGTGGCTTTTGTGACTACGGTGGGGAGAGGGAGGTAAAAACAATTATTTAACTGATCATTTAACATAATCATTTAGTCCACATTTTCCTCAAAGATTATATCACCGGGGATGTACACATTTTTTGGATAAATTGTACGAATTTAAGCTAGTTTTTTGGAGCCTACTTTAACGGACGTTAGTATTCATCATCATCTTTTCCAGTTCGTGCCCAAGTCAGATAAAGTAGAGTTCATCTGCTTCAGAGACCTCGCATATGAAGGGTAGTGTGGTCAGCACTGTGCCCAGCCGCCTTTTTTCCCTAACATGAGTTAGGCACAGAGGCGTAGCTTGGGGGGGGGAGACGACATATGTCCCCGGGCGCCAACCTTAGGGAGCGCCAAAATGGGTTGGAAAAAACAAATTGAAAGTTTGAGGGGGGGGGGGGTGCAAATCGAAAGTTTGAGGGTGGGGTGGTGCAAATCGAAAGTTTGAGGGGGGGGGGGGGTGCAAATCGAAAGTTTGAGGGGGGTTGCAAATCGAAAGTTTGAGGGGGGGGGGGGGGGCAAATCGAAAGTTTGAGGGGGGAGGGTGCAAATCGAAAGTTTGGCGCCGGGAAGGGTCGCTACGCCTCTGGTTAGGCACCCATCAGGGATGTTCTACTGACTTGAACCCGTATTCGTATTAGCAGTCTAGCCCTCTACCGCTAGACCACGCTGTCGCACGTTAATATTAATAACGTATTATTCCTTGGGGTGGGGTGGGAGTCTATGGACAATGTGTGATGAGAGCATTTTGAAAAGGCATTTTATAAAATAAATATTAGTTAATCTTCTTTTGAAAAATAAATTGTGTAAACGAATTAAACTGAAACAATGAATCTAACCCTGATTTGCAACACGTGTCGTAGTTCAGTATTGTTAGCGATGTTTCCAGTTTAATCAGACGAACTAGCAGTTGGCAGTATAAGCTATATTGTTTCGTTATTTTTCTTTTAAAAGGAAACGGCTCGGTTCAGTGGCGTCACTAGGTAGGGTGTCACCCGGTACGGCATCTCACGGTGTCACCCCCCCCCCCCTCCACACACACACAAACTGAACTGGCAAAAGGCCTTTTTATTCTATATATTTTCAATTTTTCGTCTTGATCCATTATTCACAATTCTAGGCTGCGAAGATTATAAATTCAACATTGATTGTAGATTAGTCACATCTGCTGTTAGTCGTGTTTCTCTCTCAACTGTCAACATCTTGTGCTTCTGATGAGACTTGTCGTTTGATACGCTTTCACATTCATTTCCCGCGTGTACTGGTGGTAGAGCGTACGACTGCTAACCCTCAAGTCACGAGTCCGTACCCAGGGCTTGAGTCCTGGGGACGCCCCTGAGTCCACCCGGCCCTGACTCACGTTAGTGAAAGTAAGGCGACTGGGCATAGCACTGACCACATTATCCCTTCATATGCCGATGTAAAAAAAAACAGATGAACTCTACTTCATCTGAATTATAGACCGCCAGGTTCGAAAAAGTTAGCTTTAGTTTTTTTTTTCACTTTCTACAAATGCTTGCCCTTCCTTGAAACACGTATTCTGTACGTGCGAGTTCGCGAACTACAGGCAACCATAGCCACCGTCTCTAACTTGCCACGCCTTGTTCAATATTCTAACAATTCCTTTTGGTTTGCAGTTGTATTCGTTCTGGTCTATCCTGTGGTTTATTTTAATATTATCTACCATACAATGAAGCGTTTATGAAACAGCAAGATTAGAATGTGCTTCTCTTTGTGCCGAATATATATGTATATATATATATATATATATATATATATATATATATATATATATATATATATATATATATATATATATATATATATATATATATATATATATATATATATACATATATATATATATATATACATATATATTCGGCACAAAGAGAAGCACATTCTAATCTTGCAATTTCATAAACGCTTCATTGTATGGTAGATAATATATATATATATATATATATATATATATATATATATATATATATATGTATATATATATATATGTATATATGTATATATATATATATATATGTATATATGTATATATATATATATATGTATATATATATATATATATATATATATATATATATATATATATATATATATATATATATATATATATATATATATACAGTGGCGTAGCGAGGTCGGGTGTCACCCGGTGCGGCACTTAATGGTGTCACCCCCCCCCCCCAGAGGCGTTGCGACCCTTCCCGGGGACAAACTTTCAAGTTTTCGATTTGCACCCCCCCCCCCCTCAAACTTTCGATTTGCACCCCCCCCCCCCTCAAGTTTTCGATTTGCACCCCCCCCTCAAGTTTTTCTCTGTATATTTTGCTATTTTTGCCTTGGTGTCCCCCCCCTAAATGGTGTCACCCGGTGCGGTCCGCACCCCCCTCCCCCCTCGCTACGCCCCTGTATATATATATATATATATATATATATATATATATATATATATATATATATATATATATATATATATATATATATATATATATATATATATATATATATATATATATATATATATATATATATATATACATATATATTCGGCACAAAGAGAAGCACATTCTAATCTTGCAATTTCATAAACGCTTCATTGTATGGTAGATAATATATATATATATATATATATATATATATATATATATATATATATATATATATATATATATATATATATATATATATGTATATATATATATATATATATATGTATATATATATATATATGTATATATGTATATATATATGTATATATGTATATATGTATATATATATATATATATATGTATATATATATATATATATATATATATATATATATATATATATATATATATATATATATATATACAGTGGCGTAGCGAGGTCGGGTGTCACCCGGTGCGGAACTTAATGGTGTCACCCCCCCCCCCAGAGGCGTTGCGACCCTTCCCGGGGACAAACTTTCAAGTTTTCGATTTGCACCCCCCCCCTCAAACTTTCGATTTGCACCCCCCCCTCAAGTTTTCGATTTGCACCCCCCCCTCAAGTTTTTCTCTGTATATTTTGCTATTTTTGCCTTGGTGTCCCCCCCCCTAAATGGTGTCACCCGGTGCGGTCCGCACCCCCCTCCCCCCTCGCTACGCCCCTGTATATATATATATATATATATATATATATATATATATATATATATATATATATATATATATATATATATATATATGTATATATATATAAATATATGTATATATATATATATATATATATATATATATATATATATATATATATATATATATATATATATTTCTTTTTTTCTTATTTTTCTCTAATTCCAGTAGGGATGAGCTCATTAACCCTACTATCTGGCGCCCACGTAGCCCCACTTGTTAGATTACGGGACAATGTCTCATCAACGGGAACTCAATAGTGAAGGGAGATCACTCTCTGAAACTATCGGATGGACAATGTGGCGTAACATCACGGTTCCCTCACCTGTTAAAGGTTCCACGGTGCCATTTTTTGTCTAGTTTTGTCAGCAACAGGAAGCTAAATTAAATTGGCGCCTGTCGAAACACTGGTGTCTCTAGTCTCTATGATAGATAGGTCCTTGTCCTTACGTCTTTAATGATTGACATGTGGTTTTATCTAGCTAGTAGCTAGGCCTAGGGTAGAGAATAGATCTCTACTCACTGCGGAAACTAGATCTACTACTTTGTCTATTCGCAAAACAGAAGCATCGTAAACGTCATGCCGTCGTATGTAGATAGGTCTAGACTCTAGATCTAGCTAGAATCTAGAACTACCCTCTAACTTTAGCCCTGTCCCTGACCACAGTTCTCTTACCCAAACATCGATACCTGTAGAAATTAAAATCCTTGAGACGATACCGTATTGTTCTAACGATATTTTGTGTTACATTAAAAAAAACCTAATTAACCAAGGTTATGTGATTAGGTTCTGTAGTCTGAATGCTTTGAAAAAATCCAAATATTGAAGGGGAAAAACGGCACAAAAAAGTGCGCTGTTGCGATTTGCAAATGCGCAAGTGTAAGCATTATTTGGTGCGTACTTTTATAGGTTCCGGGCAAAGCTAGATTAACTGGCAATTAGGCCTGAGCACGTGCTTTGGGCCTCAAAAGAAGGAGGTGCCATATACAACTTCTATAACGTTTGTTGATTTGGGATAGTCTAGAACAGAGCATATTAAAATAAATTGGAAATCCTAATTCGAGCAGCAATCAACAAGGCAGACTGTGTAATTTATCCTAATTAAAATAATAATGCATGCAATATAGTGACCCGATTTAACCAATAATATAACGAACGAAACTAGATTCCCTACGTTTATTTTTCAACCTTCAAACAACAACAACTATACAACGCTCAGCTGTCCGTTACCCTACTTATAACTACATGATCGTCTTGTCTAGTACGTCATACAACTTTCACCGCGTCATTCGCGCACTACACGTTATCTATCACAACAAACAAATCAAATAGCAAATACACCCTTACTCATACCATCCTTCGTAAATACTGTCTTAATGAACTGTATCTGACCTAATGTACTGATATTCCGGTCAAGTTCATCATCAGCACAATTAACCCAGGGGCGTAACTAGTTTTTCAGTGTAGAGGGAGCGACGAGTAAAGAAAACACACACACACATCGTGCGGCATCAAAACGGCTAATGACAAAACGGCCCCGTCAAAACGGCCCCGACATAAGAGCCCCGTCAAATCGACCCCGTCAAAAGGGCCACCGACATATGAACCCCGTCATATAAGCTCCCGTCATTTAGGCCACCGGGAAATAGGCTCCCGTCATATAGGCTCCAGTCAATAAGACTCCCGACCAATAGGCTTCCCTCATTTAGACTTCAGACATATAGCCAGAGGCGTAGCGACCCTTCCCGGCGCCCGGAGACAAACTTTCAATTTGGCGCCCCCTCGGGAGTAACCTTTCAATTTCCTTCAAATATTATATTAATCCACCCAGAAAAAAAAGCATTTAGGGGCCTAACTCTAACAATTATTACTACAATTGCAAACATCATTTTTTTAGTAAGTTATAAAATTTGGTGTCCAGCTGAATGTAGCAGGTTTACGTCATGATGTCCCTCCCCATTACCCTTGTCGGGACTGCTCTTAAAAGTTTATTTAATTCTAATTAACTAATGAATATTTTATTTAACTGGAATGATAATTTTATATTGTAAATATATTTTGCATTTTTTTTGCCCAGGTCACTAGTAAAAGTATGTTTTCTATATAAATTCCATTTCGTTCGGGGGGCGGTTGAAGAGATGCCTGGAAGAAACTCTGGGTCCGCACCCCTCCCCTCCTCGCCTATATATATATATATATATATATATATATATATATATATATATATATATATATATATATATATATATATATATTTATATGACCCCCAAGACAAATCTCTGACTACGCCAATGTCTGACTCGAGGTGTAGGCTAAATACTGATGCTTAGGAATGAAGAAGCATAAACACACATTCACATAAAGCTAGCTTGCGACATTTAGATGGATCGATTCGCGTATCCCGTCTCAAAAACCAATCCCGTCTAAATCTAGACGTAGAACTGAATCCAGAGGTTAGATACTAGATAGATCTAGATTTAATAATGATTTTGACATAGATCTAGGCCTGTTAACTATTAGATCATGTTAGGATAGCTGGTTTATGTATATTTAAAAAATTAGAAATAGCTAGGCCTAATGTATTAATAATTATTAATTAAACTTTAAATAAACATCTAGAGATCTATCTACTATATCTAGTCTAGACTCTAGAGTCAGTCTAGAGTAGAGGCTAGTGACGGCTAGTCTAACTAACTCATCTTTTGTCATAGACTAAGTCTAAGTGACCTAACTAATTGTACTTCTTAGTGTAGTAAAGTTAATAAAAGTGGGAAAGTTCGACCACTAGATTTAAATACATTGTCGAAGTACCGGTAAGTATTAGAGTCTATTAGATCTAATTTATTAGTGTGACAAGGCAGGTACCAAAATGCTTTTAGTTTAGTATTTAAATTATAGTTTGTTTTTTTATTCTAGATCTAATTAATTAATGTAGGCCGTAGGGTATCAAGGCCCCTAAGACGCCCTACTAGATCTACTACTAGTCTAGGTACTGAGAAGCACTAATTTAAATTTTAAAGTAACATTTGACTTAGTGTGGTCAGCTACTTTACTTTTCCTAAGTTCGAACTTGTGACTTTTGGGTTAGCAGTCTAGCCACCAAGCGCTACTGCTGGGCCACTCCATCCCAATTAAGTACTTAAATGTAGGCCTTTAAAACTGCTATACTTAGCATTAGTCAACTAAAAAGTATTTTTGAAAAAAGCAAAGGCAGTTGTGTAAATAATATTATAAATACTAATATATACTATATAGGCTACTTCTTCCTACCTCATTTAATAACAAAAGGAAAATGGCAAACCACTCTGTCCCCATTGGTGCATGATCCCTTAAAAATTAAATGTTACAAGAGCTTGAGATGGTTAAATTTTTAAAAAAAGTGTGATACTTAGTAATATTAAATTTGGGCCATATATATTACATATGATTAATAAAATAGTGGCTTTTTGCTGGTATTATTATGATCTGTTATCCTGACTCTAACCCTAACAATATTTCTGAAATAGATTTGACTATGACCTTAGTACATAGCAGTACATTATAGAATCCAGGTTATTAATTTTAATTCTTAAATGTGTTGTCCTGCTGGATTTAGTAAGGATACACATTAAATAAGGTTTTAAAGTATTGGCCATAGTCAGATATTCATATAATTATGTGTAAACTAGTACTGCAGACAAAAAATAAATGATGAATACATTTTTTTCCTCAGTTTTATTGCCAGAAACCATAAATAAAATGGATAAAGAAAAAAACACCATCTTAGAGATAGATAAACAACAGAATGAAAGTGTTAACACAGCATTGAAAGGAACATTGGCTGCTGTTTTCTATGGCGTTTGCTCAGTATCATCAGCTCTGGTGACTAAACTTTTAATGGACACCTTGAACTTTGACTTTCCTGTGTTCATCATGGTTATCCAGATGCTCTTTACAATCACAACACTAGAGATACTCTGCTTTTTCCACCTAATAGATCTGCCACCATACACTATTAAGAGAGGCATCTCTTTTGCTGCACCAGCATTTTTCTATGGCACAAACTCAGTATTGGCTTTAACAGCTTTATCCAATATGAACATTGCCATGTATGGAGTATTGAAGCGTTGTGTGCCTCTTTCAACAATGATCCTTTCGCTTATCATCCTAAAGACAGGTTGTCCAAAGAGGTTCACCATGTATTCTGTTATACTGTTAACTTTGGGATGTATCATTGCAGGTGAGTTTTATTGTTATCATCTTATCTGTTGTTTAAAAAGTGTGCATTAGTTTTTGAAAAAATATTGAACTTGGATTTTTAACTTGCTATCTTTTTTGAGGAAACAAGTAAACCTATCAGATAAATTTAAAATTCTCCTAGACTTCAGGGTATCAGTGTCATCTTATTGTTTTCCCTTTCTTAATTTTTATACATCTTAAATTCTTACAAAATAACTTGACTACAACATACATTTTTAAATATTTTTATAATTTCAGGTTATGGTGACCTGAGTTTTAATTTGACAGCTTACATCTGTGGTATTGGTAGCAACTTCAGTCAGGCTCTTTATCTGTTGCTAGTGCAGAAGCGTATAGAGGAACATTATTCTGTGATGGAAACTCTGCAGCTCAACTGCTTTAACACATTGCCATTACTCCTAGTTGCAGCTATTGTAAATGGGGAGATAACATCTGTAGCTCAGTACCCAAACCTTGCAGATGCTTACTTCCTGTTTATATTTTTTATGTGTGTTACTGTTGGCATGCTGCTGAATTATTCACTTTTTCTTTGTACAAGTCTGACCAGTGCTCTAACTACAAGTGTAGTTGGAGGGTTGAAAGCCTTAGTCCAAACATTAATAGGATTGTTTACATTTGGCGGTGTATCTTACAACCTGCCAACATTTCTAGGAATATCAATGAATTTGGTAGGTGGGATAGCTTACATCTGGGCACGATACTCTGAGAATCGCTCCAAAAAGAAAAATGCTAAAGAAGTTACACGGCTGCCTCAGTCAAAAAGTGACTTAAGCAATGGTAATGTTAGTTTAGATTCCAGCTTACTGTCTATTAAATCTTGATGGTGTTTTTATTGTAGATGAGCTTTTTACAACTTTGGTAGCATGAGGTAATTTCTGGCCGTTTTATACTCCACAGGGAAATCAATTTAATAATTTCACATTAACATAATTTGTTTTATCACATATGTTACCATTAATCATAATGAATGTTCGCTATTTATTTAGTATTTGTACTGCTGTTTAATCAAGTCTTTCTGGGGTTTTTAAAATAACATTTACATAAATGTGGTAAATGTACAAAGCCCAACACAGCACGTAAGAGTTGATGAAAATTGTATAAAATATGTTAGTGGTGTGTTTTTTTAAATACTGGTGTGTCTTGAACACTAATCTCCACATTACCTTTTATGTACTTTTATCTGTTACTACATTGTAAATAAGAAATCCATAATGAAATGGTGCTATACAATAAAATCCATAGTGTATGGGATTTTATAAGAGGGTCTGTGATATTTCAGCTTTGTGTGAGCATAACCTGTTACATATTTTAAGCTATAGCATAATCATTAAGGATTATATTGCCCCTATGCAGTAGGTTTTTTAAAATGTTGCGGTTTTTTGTGTGCGCATATGTTCAATTGAGGTTCCTTTAACTGTTGTTAGCTGATCTTATGTATAGTTATTATGTTGACTGATATTTTTAAAAAAAGATTTATGTTGTATAGTATAATTTACATTCCTTAAGATCTCCTGATCTTCTCTATACAATATATACATTGTAATTTTACTCCATGTCTGAGGGTTTTGCACAGAAATAAAGCTGATGGTTAAAGTCAAACTTGTTTCTTTTATACTTTAGATATAAAACAAAATATACTGGATTAAAAAACTAGCAAGTTATACATTTCCACACATTTAAATGAACATTACATAATGGACAAAAATGATGATTGTTAAAAAACCTTTTTACTAATGCTACAATAACTACAGGTCTTGATATCAGTTCTGGGCTATGGTAAACATGATGTGTGGATTCAATTATTATTTACAAAAGTTTGAAGTATTTCATCTTCCTTTGGAAGAAGATGAAGCCAGTTTATAGACTGTAAATCCTAAGAGAGCAGCCACAGCCAGACCCAGGCTGACCTGGAGATATGTGTTGGGTGACGACTGGAACAGTCCTCTCACATGTCTGTGAAAGAAATGACAGAAATATAGGAACAAGCTCCTTCTTAAATGTAAGGTTGTTAGCTAAATGAACTGCAAAGGTTACTAAATATTTCACTACAGTTATTTTCAGAACTGCATGTTGTAATTAAATTATACATTTAAAAAAATATTAACTTCATAGACTTCAACTTTATAGAAAATTGACAGTACATAAAAGAGCACCATATTATAATTTAAATAGAGATAACTGTTCTGTAAATGTGAAGATTATGTGCTTAAAAATATAAACCCATTAAAATGGGTTCAGTTTAATTACAACCTACCATCAGTCTTAATGGTTCTGTAGTGTGTACAGAGATCAGAGATAATTACAAAGTATTACAGAAATAATTGGGTATTGAGCTAAGACATAATTGTCACTAAAACTTTGCCAATTAATAAAAATAGCATTTACTAAAACAAAAGATAACAAAGTACAGTGAGAGGTAGTGGTGGTTAGTAGAAAAAAAAAACATCTGGAATGTGCTGGGCTGATGTTAGTATAAACAATTTTTCAGAATTAAAATAATGTTAAGTTTAAAATAATCTGGGGCAAACTAAAGAAACTAAACAACTAGATGCATCAAATGAACAGGTACCAGTTCTAGAAACATCTTGCCAAACAAAGCATAAATGGTTGGTAGGTGACTGCCAATAAATAGACCTTGTGTTTACAGTATTCAGATTAATACTTACAATAACAGTCAGAACAATATAGTCAGAAGTGTTCCAGTAAAATAAAATCTGATTTAACTTACAAAATTACTAGGGCAAATCCTTTAATTTTATTTTATATAATGATGGATGATATACTTATGAGAGAGTGATAAAAGATCAACACACTACATAGTAAGGACAAATTAAACAGTTTCCTCAGAATAACATCAGCCTAAGAAGCAAGTGAGAGAGCAATAGCCAGTGAAATTCCTTTGATTCCTTTGCATTATTTATAATAACCATGAGCGTTATGAAACACATGTAGCATAAACCGGTCATTAAATTTAAGAAAAATAGCATGACAACAATTACAAGGACTAGATTCTGAATCTGAAAAAGACAGATTCAGCATAATCAAGAACTCTTGCCACTAAGGTAAACATACTAATTTGCATGCATAACAAATGTGAAAGTTAAAACATAATGCATTAAATTCACCTACTAATTTTAACTGTTATTGATGATTAACTAAGTATAGGTCCAACTTATTTTATGTTAAGCCTACATTTACATGCCATGGATTCACCCTAAATAAATATTCCAATTATTAGTTATAGTTTTATATGAAAGATTTTTTTATCAGAAGTATTTTACAATTTTACTCTAACTCAATTTTAAACTCTAAGACAAGGTTCTTAAAATGGCAGACAGAATAATAAATGTTCTTAGTTTCACTCACAACTAAAAATATGAAAATATATCAAATGTATGAAATTGCACAAAAGTTTAACTAGTAAGTAGTGACTATTAAGCTTTCTGCAAAAACAGGCACAAGTACCATTTTAACTGGCAAAAACTTGCATACTGACATCTAGTGAACAAGCCAAGCATCAAATAACCAATGCAAACAATAGATACAACATCGAAAAGAGATAGGTGTGTTTAGGGGTGGAGTGAAGTGAAAGCGGCCCTATTTGAATTTTCTCATTTTACTGCACTGTTCCTAGCACCTCTTAGACTTCTGCTCAGGCCACCAATGGGTGTATTACAACATTAAGACAAAATTTGTTACAACACTAAGGTAGGTGAGTTACAAAATCAAGAGATGGGTCAGTTACAACATCATGGGACAGGTGTTTCAACACTGGCTTACAACGTATTTCAGCCAGATGTATGCAAACCTATCTGTTATTGTTAAATTATAACAAAAACAACAAAAAAAGCTATTATTTTACAGCCTTCTGGTACAATGACCATAAGGGAAGTTTTACAACATAAAAATGGCCATCAAAAGATAGTTTGGTAACACAAAATAATGATCATGCAAAGAGACAGATATGGACCTTAATCTTTCTTCCAACCACAGTGGACGCTGATGTACCAGCAGCATATGCACCAGACGCTTCAGGTTGCTGAAATAAAATACACTTCCACTGTCAGTCACTGAAGAAAGTCAATGTCTCATTGGAAGAAAACAAACTCAAACAAGGCATTTTATATTTTTAACAGCCTATACTGATATCACAAGTTTAGTTATTTCTAAGCATGACTCATTCCTAGCAATAGAGAATTATACAAGGCATGTTTGAAGCAATCATTGGCCAAGTTTTATGATTATTTTCCTTGTTGATCAGATAAAACTTTGAATAGTGATAAAATTCATCCCATTATTTGATAATAAGATTTTTTAAATAACTTCAAAAGCAGCAGCCACTTAATATTTTATCATTCCTGTGTAAAATGTCTGGACTAATGAAAAAATATTTCACTCATATTACCTTCTAAATATGTATTAATTCTTATTAAATTTTACTCATCACAAAAATATTCAAAGTAATAGTTTTAACAGTTAAATGGCAGAAAGAAGTAGATATGGTTAACCCCTTTACTGTGTGTTACGAGTTAACGCGTCATATAAAATCTTGGGCTTAACTGTACATCACTAGTTAACTCGTCTTCAGATAAAAAAGTCGTCTGTGTGCCGTGCGTCCCGAGTTAACTCGTCTTGATACGAAAATAGCATTGGAAATCAATAACAATGTAGAGGGAGGCTAATCTAACAGCCAATTCAACAGCGGATGATAAAAATAGGTCATCACGTGATGTGAAAACGAAAGTGGAAAGGAGACATGTACGACAGGTATAAGAATAAATGTAGGAAACAATTACAGTTTCCAAAAAAAAAAAAAAAAAAATTTTTTTCCACGGTAAAGGGGTTAAGGATTTAGATTAGTCCAAAGGTCATTGCATTTGCTTATTCAAAATACGACTTGTATCATTTAGTGGATTTTTAACCATGTCACTGTTGTGTCAAGCACTATGCCAGGAAAATGTTCATGTCATTAAATTTCATTGTAGTTTATGGATGTCTAGCATCAATACTCGCAGCAGTTACAGTAAAATTATCATATTAAGTCAGCCATGTAAGAACAGCACACTACACTCATCCATTGTATCCTAGTCTCACAGAGACCACAAACAATACAAATGTTACAACTCCAGCAATCAGTAATATGCCAAAGGGTAAACAGTCTAGAGATAAGAAATGACACTTTTTACAGGATCTAAACGACATTCAACAAAAGATGGAACCACCAATGATCAGAAGATCTAAGCACCTTTGATCAGAAAATATAACCACCATTGATATGAGGTGAGAACCGCTATAGATCCAAATGCCAATTTAATTATAACAAATTAATCTATTCCCAGCAACAGATTTTCCATGTACTCATTATTGAGTCTAAAGCCCATAATTATATGTATTATTGTAATTGCTAAAATAACAGCGAAAGAATTTACATTAAATGGAAAATCTATCTTCTTTAAGCTGATGCAATTAATTTTTAATTTGTGTTCATTTGCTATAAAAGTAATTTACTGTAAAAATATTTTTCTTTAAGCAAATGTACAAATGACCACATTTTTAATTAGATCATGTAAGTAAAGAAGCTTGACATATTTATGTTAAAAACTAGCAGTCTAATCCACGCAATGAACCCTGTTAGTGAAAAAATAAAACTTACGGGTATGCGGCCATGGTGGCCAACTTCACATAAACATCGTGGTTGACCTTATCTATGCAGGTGAACCGCTGAGCTGGTGGTAATTTAAAACGGCTACAAAATTGTGCTGGAGTCAGCTCATAGTCTTGTCTGACCTCAGGGTACTCAGCTTTTGAGGCCACAATTAGCGTTGGAATCTTACAGTCAATGAAGTGTTTCTAGAGTCAGATAAAAAGTTAAATGTTCAGTAAACACATACTTGCACAAGACAGGATCTTTAGAAATAAAATGTATTTAAGCCTGATGTATATCTTACAAACTAGTCTATATTTGAGTCAATCTAAAACACTGACCATGTACATCCTGGCACAAAACTCAAAGCTGTGTGGGTTGGTCACATCATAGACTAGACAAGCCACATCACAGTCAAGTTCTGTGGGGCTCAACATTTCACTCATCATCATATCAATCTCATGAAGCTGCTCGAGACAATCAAACATCAAATTATATCAAACAATCACATCTCAGTGCAGCTAAGATAACAAGCATGGTAAAACACTCTAAAATTTTGAATGATTTAGAAGCAACTCTTTTATGGCATGTTTGTAAAAATAACACTGGTATGTAAAACCATGAATGAAACACACCATCAAATACTTGTCCTGGCCATAAACCTGGACTGTGTTGACAGTAAAGTTAGATAAATTCTGTCTGTTGAGTGTTGCTACATAGCGCAAGTTTCTATGTAACAATCCCTGAAGAAAGGCAGTCTGTAAAGAAAATCAGTGAAAACATTTAAAATATTTTTATACTGGCCTGTACATGAAAAGGAAAATTAATAGACTTAACATCTGCTGAGAATATTGTTGCACCATAAAGCCACAAGAAAAATTTACATTTTCTCTGACCATCAAAAACTAGAAAGAGTAAAAATCTTTCATACTATTTTTCTTTCGTCCTCTTCCATGTTGAAAACAGTTACATCTAATACATGAATAGAAATTTAAAATGATGTAAACACTAGCAATTGTTACCTTTCCAACCGATTTGGCTCCTAGGACATGACATCTGAAAACATTGCGAGCTGTCTGACGTTTTTCCAAATCTAACTTCTTGTCTCGAGTGACTAGTTATTTGAAAGATCCAAAATGAAAAGAGATTTCAGTATAACTTTTGTACAAGTTGATAGAAGAAAAAAAATGAAAAATTTCTGTTGTGGTGACAGAAAAGATAAAATGAGAACCTTGAATAGCTGTAAGTTGACTCTCATGCTGATAATTATAGCCAAGATAAGCCAGGTACTCTATAGCTCTTGTCACATCAAGTAAGGTTGTCAATCTGTGGGGCAAGAGAAAATATTAGATCATTTTATCAAAAGAAGTCTGTAAAAAAGGAAGACATGAGACATGTTGCCTAGTACTAACAAAACTGGAACTTTAATAAGGGGTAAAAATTTCTCATATTAACACTTTGTTTAAACAATGAGTTAATGACACTTATATTTCAGACAGAAACTTGTTCCATTAAAAGTACTCTCATTTGAAACAGACAATTCAGTTTCTGCAATATTGTAGTTGAGTAATTTTCAATTCAATTATAACTAACACAAGCTGGATAAAAAGAGCTAGTTTGTAACTTACGTCCACTGTGCGAGATAGCCATCAAGTGTTATCCAGCCTTCACCATTAGTACAGACTGTGTTATTGACATCTGGACCCCAAGGCATTAGTGGACATGTGCTAAATACATTTTGTAGTTCTGTTGGAGACAGGCACCCATCTTTGTCCTGCATTCATAAAATAAATACTTAATTTTAAGTCAAAGGTTTAAATTAGGAATTGAGTAAGTAATCAAAACTGTTGTGTCTTCAAAGAATTTTACAATTTCATGAAACTTTAAAGCCAAAGAGGATGCTATTATGAATTTTTCCCTTTGCATTTAGAAGATGAATATTACCTCATCATATTTGTCAAACAGACGAACCAGAAATTCATAGCCCTGAGCTGTCAATTCTGTTGTACTGCCTACTCCAACTAGTAGCCTATAGAAAAAATTTAAAAATGTATAACTTATTTCAGTGAAAAAAGAATTGCAACTTTCAAATTTTAGAGTTAAAATTCTTTACTTGTTAAGAAATTACAGTAATTGTATGATCATAACATAATTTAATAACTATAAAAGTATGAGATATCAAAAGTAAAATCTAATTGCTACTATATATAAAGGTGCTACTGTCTTTTACTGTACATCAATGGCAGTCTACCTACTTGGGAGAAAGATATTCTGCAGTCAACTGTAAACTATCATCATATCCAAATTTTCTAAGCACTGTCCATGTTGTTTCATGCCGTCCTTTCTGTATAAAAAGTGTGTGTAGAAACAGAAAGCCTGAAAAAAAAAAACATCAACACACATATAGCAATTAACTTTTTTTGGACTTAAACAGTTAATTATTTCTGTAGAGTTCATTATTGTGTTAATTAAAAAGTAATTAAAACCTTTAAGTGTGATTCCATCCTGGACACCATCAGGGACATTTTTCCTCACTATGGCCTTAACATCTTCCAGTGCTTGAGGGTGAAGTGGTGAGTTAAAACATTTTAGCTGCAGAGTGAGAGACGGATGAAGGAAGATAGAATGGAATATTTCTCTAAACATGACTTTTAGAACAATAGAGATTATAAAGTACATAACTTTTAAGACAGTAAGGTAATTAGAATTTAGACTGCAATTCCACACAGCCTAACACTCCCAACATTTGACAACATTTTTTCATTAAGCAAAGTTATTAATTTAAACCAGGTATATTAGTCATGATATTGCTAGAATGGTTATTTTAAGTTGGGTTTAGTTCTTGTTATTTGTAGTTCAATTTGTAACATTTCAAAACCCATTTGTGTCTGCAGTGTACTTTCAAAATAGTCAGTGCCTAAAGTAATTTACATTAAGAAAATAATCCTAATACTAATTTAATCCATGATAAAAGCAAAAAAAAAAAAAAAATTCTATGTGCTTTCATTTTCTATAGTAAAAAAAAAATAATAATATAATTTTAAATCCTAATTTTTCCAACCGATATATGTTGTTCTTAATTTTTTTCTTATCTAAAAATAATTTTAAATTAATGTCTGCATAAGGCATCAAATTATGATCATTTTGTATTATATAACATTTACAGTTTTTAAATAAACTGGAAAAATAGTATTTTTGTTAAGTAGGACCTAAATTATAATTCAGGCAAACAATGTAAAGTTGGGAATTAATAATGGGTTCAAATAGTAAATACTTAATATTTTTCTTGAGAGGAGTTAATATACCTGTGTCTATCACATTGCACTTACCTGAAACATGTTGATTTCATTATCACTGAGCACATTGTCATTGTCCATATCACAAATCTTAAAAGTAAAAAAATAATACATTTTTGGGGATACACCTAGAAGAGCTTTATAAGCAATCATTCAGTATTTACAAAGTCAAAAAGCCTTGGAACCCTTAACCCCTGACCACAAAATCCATGTTCCCCTGGACACCTGAGGTAAATGTACCCCCAACACTCAATTAAAAAAATTGAAGAAAGAATATAAAAACAGTGTTATGTTTTTATTTTAATAAACAATTGTATATGAAACATCTGTAATGCTTTGTCGTAGTATGCCAGATCCTCCAATAGTTAAACCCTTAAGAATTTTTATCGTAATTTTCATATACGGAAAAATAAATTCTGTCTGGGAAACTGACATTTAAGACACTAACAGAAAAGTGGTACAGCAGGTTCAAAGTATTATGCAAATGGTACTACTAGTTTTTTGTAGAGAATGAAAATACATACACGAAAAATTCTGGTAAGAGCTTTCTTTGCTTGACTTGTCAGCTGAAAATGAAGTTATTTTTTTAATGAAGCAATTTATGAAAAGATCACTATTTTTTTTTAGAAAAACAGTTGAACAGCTGTTTAATCAATAATAAGGTAAACAAAGTAAGTCCACATTATAGTCCAATCAGCCAGTTAGCTTGGAAATAGCTGTTGAAACCGTAATTTAGGAAGTATTGCAATGTGTAATTTGCTTATTTCTCTTATTACCCAGTTTACCCTAAGTAACCTGGGCAAAAATGTTAACAAATCAGAACAACATACCTCCTTTTCATCAGGATTGTAAACTGGTGCTGTAGGGTGCAACACAGCTTTTTGTGCATAATAAAATACTTCACTAATGTTTTTCAAAGTTCTGGCAGAACACTAAAACAATTTTAGAAAGTGAATAGCAAGTTAGTTTAATACACTGAGTGGTGATAAATATTACAAACAAGGAAGAGTAGTAAACCTGTTAATTACTAAATTGTTGTTTATCTGACATGTATTATAAAACTACATATCTAGCGAATAGGTTAATGGACAGACACATTAAGTCATTAACTGTTACCTCAACACACGTCTCCACTTCACCAAAGTCATTCATAATAGGAAGAATACTCTAAAAAGTAAATGCATTTATGTTAATCTTAAACAATAGTTAGATTGAGTATGTAAAATTGTAGATACATTTCTTGTGACACACACTCAATAGAAAAATAAAATGCACTAGTATAAAGAACAGTCCTTGAATCTTTACCTCTAATGTTTGAATATCTGTAAGATCTACTTTGTTTCCTACAAGTATTACTGGTGTGTGATGATCATCACCAAGGGTAAAACGGATGTAAGGCAGCCAGTATGTTGTTAACTGTATTAAAATAGTGCAGTATAATATAAACTAACAATCACTAATAGATATTGATAATCAAAGCCAACTGTTTGAAGTAATTAGCATTAGAACACTTTGAAATAACTCAATATAAAAATGGGATAAAGCTGTACAAAAATATAATCAGTAAAAATGTAAATTAATCTTAAGTGTACATCTAATGTAAAACAACCCACCCTTTGAATAGAGTCCTCGTCCACTACAGAGTACACTATACACACAACACTAGCTTTTTTAATCTCTTCCTGTAACACATCTTCATCTTGATCTTGGGCTGGTCATACAACAGTTTTAAATTACAGAAAATTAAACTTAAAACTTATTCCCTCAAAATAGTGTACAATATATATAATTTAAGATAGTTTAAAACCCTGGATCAGAGTTATATCTACCTGAATAATCCACAATGCATGTGGGTACATGTTCTGGGGTAACATCTGCAGGAATAGTGATTTCTTCTGCTCGTGCTGGCACCTGGACAAAGGAATTAAAATAAAAAAAAACCACAAATTATATTTTACTTAGACATATAGCCTCATTTTTTAGGCCAACTTTTTAAAAGTAGGAATTTATTAACAGCACCACTGATAATATCAATATTTACAACACTGGAAATCTGATTAGGCTAAAAAGCTACATATTTTTTGTGGGGTGGTGCGGTTGAATGGTACAGCATTTGGCTGCTAGCAACGAAGGTTTTAAGTTTGGATATCGGTTTCGGACTTGTGACTAGGACTTCACCGAGTCCACCCAGCTCTGATGGGTACCTAACTTACATTGGGGTAAGTAAAGGTGGCTGGTCTTAGTGCTGACCACGCCATCACTTCATTGGCCAAGGTTAAGAAAAATGAACTCTACTTCATCTGCTAAATAGATAGCTCGGTCTAAAGAGGAATCTTTACTTTTACATATTATTTAGTATCAACGTTAACATTACCTCCTCTGCAAACTCTTCGCTGACAAGGGAGAGAATAAGTGAAGTCTTGCCCACCTTTTCTGAAAAAATTATTTTAAATATGTAATAAAATAATAGAAAATTAAAAAAAGATTGTCAAGTTATAATTAAAAAGTTCTAAATTGTATTTTTTCAATGCAGGCAATATTATTTTAATGGCAAATTCATTGTGATGTAGTGATATATTATGAGGGATATTGCATATAATACAACAAATATTTGACATTTTCACCTATTTTTAAAAAGGCAGCCATGAGTCAAATGAAACTAATGGCTAAAGAAATCCGATTTATCAGTTAAACAAGAAAAAAGACAATAAAAATAATAAACTCTGCATAAGAAAACAAATTAAATGGACCTTACCATCACCAACAAGAAGTATCCTCACATCACGTTTATAAGAAACCATCTTGTGTTAAATTAATATATATTACAATCGTAAGTCTCATCAGTCACAACACACAATAAATAAATTCAGGAGCAGCACTTGTCACAGAAGAATGCCATAAAATTATTTTCACACCAATACTGTTAATAAGGTAACATTTTCAAAACACTTGCTATAACATTCTTTTTTTTCTGAAATAAAAATGATAGGCCTATTGGTATAGAGATATTTTAAAATGATAACCATAGGTGTAATATTATTAAGCTATGTTATAGGCTACATAAAGTTAAAATAAATTATCCTCTAGGCAGTTTCTTTACTATACAGTTGCAGAAATAAACAGATTAGGCCCATACAACTAATTTTGGCTGTGAAATTCATATTTAAGACCAAAAAGGTTAAGTGTTTAAGTGAATGGCTGTTTTTGCATCCTTCTCGCATTTTACTGCCTTGCCATTCCACATCTTACCAAGACCTGACTCCAGGCTGGGGAGATGTTCTGCAAGGGATACAAATTAAATAGGCCGATTCTAGCTGGAAAAAGAAACTACAACTTGCCTTCGCTGCGATGTTTTCGATGGTACTGCGCATGCGTGTGTTAACAACCGTAAAACCCTAGCCCTAATCCTAACCCTGACTCTAACCCCAATCCTAGCTCTAACCCTAACCCTAGCTCAGCTATTAAGGTCCTTGTTCATGCGCAGAACTATCTTTTGCCAACCAAGTGGAGACGCTGGGGCGAAAAATCTTTTTCCAAGTAGTCGCTTCGAATTAAATAATGATTCAACATTAGGCCTAGGCCTATATTATTAATATATATAACATATAGGGGTCGACTCAATTCTAGCCAGAAAAAGATATGCAAGTGCTATAAAGAGAAAATACCGCCTTCATTCACGGCGATGTTTCTGATGGTAATGGGAATGCATGTGTTTACAAACAAACCGCAGAACCCTTACCCTATCCCAAACTCTAACCCTAACCCTAGCGCAGCTATTAAGGTCACTGCACATGCGCAGAACAGTTGAGTGTCATATTTTCTGCCAAAAAATCTTTTTCCGAGTAGATCTTGTCACAATTTAAAATATCTAGAAAGCTAGCTATAACTGTAAGTACGACTGTCTAGCTTCTAGATCTAGCCCTCTATTTTAATTATTTACTTCTTCTTCGTTCTTAATTTTTAGTGTTGGAACGGATCGAGCCTTATCTGCCAGAGGGTTGAACTTTTTTGAATTTATCAACCATGAGCTTTTGCCGACTCGACCCCGTCTCCATTACAATTAAGGATAAGTGTCAACTGTTTATAAGCCATTGACTTCGATTTCAGCCTGCTTTTCTTTTTGGATTTGCTTCCATAGCCTTTGTTCAGCCAAGAACAAACTACAAGGCAGCAGTTGTTTGATTTTGGAGTTGTCTCTCCTAGAAGAGTGGCTGTCCCCAGCTAACGAGCCTCATCTGCCCAAGGGTTCGAAACTCCAGACTTTTCGGTTTAGCAACCATGATCTTTACCGATTCGACCCCTAATTATTTAGATCTACAACTCAAATGACTTGTTCATGAAGTTGTCCTAGGACCTGGACTTGACTTAGATCTAGAACTTGCTGCTGCTAGCAGCACTCTCTGCTCTACTACTTAACTACTCTACGCTAGACTTACATTGTGTGTTATTAAATCTGGTTTTTTGCATTGTATATGTTGTATTTGTTACGTTTAAAATCAACTAAGATATCGCAATAACTTTTTCATCCAGATCTAGAATCTAGTTTAGACTCCCAAATCTAACTCAGTTATGTTGTCGGTCATCTTTCAGATTCCCAATGCGGTGTTTCATGAAACTTTTTGCCATTTTAATAGATCCATATATTTGTAGATGTAGTAGGCCTAGGTCTATTTCCTGTTGACGTGCGCATGCGCAGAACAGTTACCCAGTCTATGTGAAGAGACTTGCAAAAATTTTCACTTCAAAAAGCTTTCCTAGTTCTAATCTAGTCTATAGAGATCTTGACTAGATCTATGCTAGATTAGTTTTGACAAAAAGAAAGCAGTGAATTTAAAGTAAAGAAAAGAGTGGTAAAGCGTTTACTAATAGATGTAGCAATAAAGTCTAGTAAACATAATTATTTATTAAATTAAATCGTCTACAGTCTACACAGTAGGCCCATTTTTAATAAGATGCTTAGATGGCTGGATTGACCTCTGACCCTGAAACGTCACGCGTCGTTTTTAGACGGTTTTTACGTTTATTTTAGGGGTCCTATCCACGACAAATGAAAAAACTGTTAATCTCGCAAATTCTCATCATTATTTTAATACAGAATGCTAATAAAATGGATAATATGCCTTAGAATGCCAGAAAAAATCGAGAGATTTGTTGTTGTAAATAATGAGAGGATTTCTAGTGGAGCGCTCTCCGTAAAAACTGAACTGCCGCTAAAAACGACCGACCTCCGGGGAAAACGGCCCGACCTCCTCTAAATTAATATATAATTGAGATATTTACCTTGTATATTTACATTATTATTGATTCTGGTTTCCAAAATCTTATCCCAAAATGAGGTACCCACGCTGACATTTCTATCCGCTATTTTTAGTATCATGACGTCATTGCTACGCTAGTTGCCAGACTGAAACAACTAGTTTTTGTTTTTTACGGAATGAACTGTTAAGTCTAGTATTTTAATTATAATTCAATTGTAGCATGTGTGGAAAAAGTAAAATTATGGACATTATTATTGTATTAGTAATTTTATTAGTATATTAATTTTTTTCTTCACTGTGGGCCGACAGTTGCTGCATTCGTGACCGGTGGTTAACCTCGTCAACGCTGCGTGGCCTATTCGTTTATATAATCAGTGATGCTCGTCCAGTGGCCTTTTTCAGAGCTAGGCCTAATTACGGGCGATTTTTAGACTTAATTGATCGGCCGTTAGCCCTTTTCATTGCTGCGTATTTTAAACAAATGCTCGTTCAGCTGCCTTTTTTTTTTTTGGCGCTAAATAATCTGTTTACGGGCATTTTAAGTGTTTATTTTTTTATTTTTTTAAGCTAGACGTAGATCTAGTTAAAAATTTTTTTTATACAGCTGGCTGTCTAGCATGCCTGATATGTGAACTTTTAAAAAAAATGACCGAACTTTAAAAAAAAATGACCAGAAGTAGGGAAGTAGGTCTGTTATTCAATTTGCTTGAAGAAGGCGGGGGGGGGGGGGGGGAGAAGAGAGAGAGAGAAAAGTGAAGACACCGACCATCTCGTGTACGCGTGGTCATTCTATGACGTGTACTATAGGTCACGGTGACCCCGCGACCGTGGTGGGATTTTTCATCCACAGGATAGTAAACATAATCAAGCAATCACGCGAGTGACGATGTTTGGAGATTTTATTTTTAAAAAAAAATCACATACGTCATGTTTTCAAGATGAAAAAAAATGTAATGTAAAAAAAAAAAAAGACACTAATACCATGTATGAACCTCAGCTGCCACACTGTTGACTCAATATAAAGTGATTGAGTGTAAAATGTATTTTTATTTATAAACTATCTTAACTATTACACTATCATATTATTTTATGCATATATTATTTAAAATTAGGATTTGAAATAAAAATATTTATTATGGTCATTTGATTTATGCAGGTGCTCATTATTTCATAAAATGGTATGAATAACATGTAGAGTAGAATTTAATAAATAATAAAATAACTAGATCTAGTTTTATTATCAACCAGTTGCTTTTTGTTCAGTTGCTTTTTGTTATTTTCCGGTGAGTAAATAACCTAAGCTGACGCAATTACCATGGTGGGAATTAATAGCTCGTGTATACACGTCCACGACGTAATGTTATGCCGGTCGAGGGGCTAAAACGCGGTTTTGTCTTTCATTTTCCAATATCGGAAAAATTTCAAATTCTCTCTTTTCTCGTCAACCGAGTAAGCTAGATATTCAAATGTGGTGTCAAATGTTCTCTTAAGGGGTAAGGAACTTAATGGTGTATTTGAAATAACAGAATATTTTATTTTAAAAAATCCAAAATTCAACCTAGTAAATAATAATTATAATACGGTGTTGAGTCAGATTTTCTCTTTCTAGACAGTTAATAATAATAGTTTTATTTGCTACTTTTCAGTAATTCATAATTTGTGAATTCGACAGTACCACTGCTGTCACTGAAAATATTTGCTTTAAAACACTATCAGTAAGTGAAGTCGTTAAGGACTAAGATAAGGACGATAACAGACACCCCCCTCGTGATCGTGAAAACAGCCTCCTCTTAGGGCTTAGGCTTAGCTACCTCCCCTAAGTTTAAAATCGTTTCAAACTAAATTATCTGCCCCTAATAGCCGTCACTAAACCCAGCTGTACGAATGTAAATGTTTAGCATGAACCCCAGCTCACCAGACTTCCTAGAGAGGACTGCAAGGCGCGCTTACAGCTTGTTTTCTAACGCCTCCAAGAAGAGAATTATATATTACGAGCCGACCCGCTGCGTATCATACGCCGCTATTTAGTTGTTTTTTTTTCTTCTACTTTTCAGTAATTTATAATTTGTGAATTCGACAGTACCAATGCTGCCATTGAAAATATTTGCTTAAAAACACTAACCCCCCCCCCCCCCCCCCCCCACGTGAAAGCAGCCTCCTCTTAGTTACCTCCTCTAAGTTTAAAATCGTTTCTAACTAAATTATCTGCCCCTAATAGCCGTCACCAAACCCGTCTCTGTGATTGTAAAATGTAAACAGAGTGAACACAACTCACCAGACAATGTGGGGGCGGGGTGGGGGTGGTTGTGATATTGATATAGAGGAAGAGAGGGGACTGTAAGGCGAGGTTGCAGCTTGTTTTCTAACGGCTCGAAGAAGAGAATTATATATATAGATATATATATAGCCTAGATATGTATTATGTAATCTCATTGTTTAATAAATTAGCTAGGCCTAAGTAATTAATTAAATATTGCTAATGATAATGAAGTGGGATTATATTGGTTGAGGCACGGCAAAGAACACAGCGTCTTAATGGCCTGATTATTGATATTAATTAATTACTAATAGTAGTATACTAGTATACTAAGTATAGGCCTAATAATAATAAATATAAATATTATGTAGGCCCTATTAGGTCCAAGGCCTAGTAATAGTAGTTATAGTTTATAGGCCTAATTAGATCTAGAATCTATATATTTAACTCACTCCTTGCAAAAAGCCTGCCTAACCCTAATTTCTAACCATAAAAGTAGTCAAAATGACAATACTACTAACAACCCAACACACCTATTGTATGGAAGAGTCAATTATCGGACACCGGTATCTATAATCATCCCAACAGTCCACCCAGCTTTGATCGGTAGGCTACGTTATTCAGTAGTTTTCAACCTGTTGGAGTCATTTGTTATTTTGTAAAATACATATATCCTTTTATAAGATTTTTAGTACACAGCACACACAAAATGCATGCTTGCGCTCAAAACTTTTTCGCAGCGTTGGTGCTGACTACATTATCCCATCATGCAAGGTCCCTAAAATGGGTCAACTCTACTACACCTGCCTTTTAATTTTACTTTTGGAACACAAGGTCTATTGGTATATTATCAAACTGTTGTCATACGATGTAAGAATGGCATATTAATTGATAAAGTTAGAATGTAAAATGTGAAAATCTGAACTTTAAAAAAATATTGCTTTAGTTTTCTCTTAAAAAATATTGCTTTAGTTTTCTCTTGTTCTTTATTTCAGAAATACAACTGTGGTAAAATGGCCAGAAGAATATTGGAAGCAGAATTGTTAGCGAATCATGGCATTGGTTAGAAGATTAAATTAATTTTTTCATAATTTGTTTCAAATAGGCTATATGTATCTAAATGTATATATTTCATGTCAATTTATAGATAGTAAATTTTGCTGCTCATATTTAAAATAAGCTTTTTCCCCGTTTTTTTTTAAGCGTCAGCTCCAATGGGGCCAGGCAAATCTGTTGAAATTTTAAAAGAGTTTAGACTACACAAAACCTATAATGGTGTTTTTAGCTTACGATTTAATTATTCTGGAGAAGTTTTTGCAGTTGGCTTTGGCGCAGGTGGTATTCAGGTAAACAAATAGATAATTTTAAGGCATTTCTATACTAAAGCATATTAAATTTTTTTCTGCCGTTAATACTGTTAGGGGTATAGAAGTAGGATCATCTAATTTCTTCAATTTTTTTCTGAACCATCTCCTAATCAAGCATAGTTTAGGACAACTTTAAACTAACTTTATATCAATTCAATTCATATTTGCAGAGTCATTTTACACACCTACTAACTTTAATATTACATTTTTAATTTTTTAAATAATGTCAGCGAATTCTGAACTATGTATAACTTTTACTAGTTTATTTCATTCACCTTACTTATACTACATCAAATGTATAACTCAGCTTTAGCATATCCTTGTTTAATAAATGTGTAGTTATGTGTAGATAGGTCCATGTTACTTACCATTATATAACTAGTTTCACAGCATACACATTTCTAATTCTAATAGTTTTAAAATGTTTTTCTGATTATAAATATTAAAATTCATTTAACTCAAACATCCAGATTTATGAGACCAAAACAGGAAATATGATGAAGGAACTTAGGGCTTGTCGTCAGGGAGGTTTTGCTGTGATGGCACTAAATTTTCACCCTAAAGAACCAGATATATTGTATGCTTCTTCAACTGATGGCTGTATAAGTATTTATAATATTGAATCTGGACTGCTGCTTGCTACAATTGAAGGTATTTATTTCTGATTTATAGAATAATAATTATGATGCAGTTAAAATTTTAAAAACAAATTCTGACTTAAACGTTGAAAATTGGGTGGGCTTTTAAATTATCCTATTGCAAGCAAGATAATTAAAATTTTATTAGACAAAAAATTACGATAAATATGTTTGTTTTAAAATATGTATGTGACTTACTGCTTGCAGTCATCTTTATTAACTTGAATATAAAGTATAAGCAGAGAAATAAATTATCATGTAGAATGCTTAAAAAAAAGATTTTATGTTGTGACCTCAAACATTAATAAAATGTTTTTATATTGCTAGAAACTGGGAATGAAATAAACACTTTAGATTTTTGCCTTGATGGCTACAACTTTGCCACTGGCGGCAAGGACCTGGTTATTAGAATTTATGAGACTAAAACTAACAAGGTAAATATACACTAAAATTTTGTACCTTAATACAAAAGTCGACTAATAACATAAATTTTTTTTATAATTATACTTTTTTTCTTAATTTAATAAAAAATGTTAAACTGATGTGTAATTTTCATAGCTTGTGAAGACATTTGAAGGTTATTCTGAAACCACTTTTGTCATGGACAAAACCAAGATAGGAAACACGATGAGAGTTTTTTGTATCAAGTTCCACCCAAATAATCAATTTATTTTCATAAGTGGAGGCTGGGATAACCATGTGAAGGTAGGCCTACATCTTTTTTTTTAATTGTACTGGCTGAGAGCAACTGCTTATTATTTTCTCTATGTTCTGTGAAGTTTGGACATAAAAGACATGATGACTCAATACAAATCTTATGAATTGTGATAGATAAACTAAGTTTATTATTGTTAAAATATATACTGACTTGAGCTTATATTTACATAAGATGTGTAGGTTGAAAGAGATAGGATGAGAAACTTCACTTACTGTTTGCTACATTGTTAGCATTAAACTCATTCTGTAACTTAAATTCACAGATTGGTTACACTGTTAATGGCAAATTATTTTGACAATTTTATCTATATACAGAGAGATATATATATGTGTATATATAGCGATTGGTAACTGTTTGCACCTTTTAAAATTGAAAATTAGTATTTTTATTGTGCAGTTAAATATTGCAAATTTTAATATTTGTTGTTTAGATTTGGGATGTCAGAGATGCTGATGGTATCAAAAGAAATTTCATAGGACCACATGTGTGTGGAGATTCTATTGATATCCTGGTATGTTTGTTTAAATTATAAACTAATGAGAACCACTCAGAACGTTTGGATTTCAATACAGAATTAAAAATAATACAATAACTCAATAATACATACATGTTTACAATCTTTTTTTAAGCAGGTTTGAGGTAGAAATAGTATGATTGACCATAACCCACTGTAAAAGTTCGAAAAGCAATATATTTTGAAACTCAAAAAGAATTTTTCTCACTTATTTCCATCATTGTGATATATTATTTATGTCTCTTTATGTTTAGCACAATTTGATGGTGTCTGTAATATAAAGATTAAATCTGTCATATTTTAGGACAATAACATTCTTACTGGGCAGTGGACTGCTCTGCGTGCTTTGCAAGAGTTTAATTACACTACCGGTCTCCTACATCAAGAAATCAAATTTCCAAACACTGAAGGAGCTTTTCTTTATGCTGCACAGTACTGTAACAAAAATACAGTGATTGCTGGGGGGAGTGGCACCAATAGAGCTGAGGTCATAGAGATAGGCACTAACAGGGTCAGTTGGGGTTTTTTACCATTTTTTACTATTATATTACTAGGTTCAGTTTTATTCTTAAATACTTACCCTGGGGGTTACTTTTTGCCTCTAGCTGCACTATAAAAGTCACTTGTGTTTAAGTTTCTAGATTTGGGTAGCATATGCATAACTTTTTATCACTAGTGTTACTGTATTTGTTTTTTATTTCGTATTTTAGACTTAACTTGAATTATTTTTTCTACATATAGATGTGCTGTATTAGTTTTTTATATTCAACATGTTTTTTTTTATCCAGGTGATTGGTGGTTGTCAGCTGTCTGGTGCTGTCCACTGTGCCGATTCAGCTCAAAATGGCCGATTACTGGTTACAGGTGGGGCTGCCTCATCATTTGTCTTAATGAAAATGAGTGACTAAAAGTAGGATTGTCTATATACCAGGAGAAGAAGGACTTTGTCACATTTAATAATAGAAGAGTGAATAGAGTTTGGGAATCATGGGGATTGTGAGGCAGTTCAATGACTGAATCATGTAATGTTGGCTTAATTACTGACATTCCAGTTATAGTATTTTTTATCTTTACATATTAAAATTTATTATCTCGGTATAGTTTTTATGAAATGCTCCCTAATTACTGACTAGGTCCAATAGTTTTCTTTTATGTGTTAGTCTTTTTTTATGTGTTAGTCTTTTTTCAATTATGATTTAATGCCAGAAGTAGTTCTAGTGATTACTTTTAGAAATCCTTGGCAGAGTTATCCTCGGTTAGACTTTTACAGCTCTTTTTTCAATCCTCTTATAGCTTACCTTTATTTACTTGACCAAATCCAGTCAATGAAAACCTATAAACTATTGTGTTAAGCCTCTTTCTTATTAGACCTTTATAATTGAAATTTAATAAGCTATCCTAAGAAATTGTTTTTACACTTATTGGCTGTCTTTACATAGCCCTTTAGCATTTTCAGATCTAATAGATCTAATTACTCACATACATATCTCACCACTGATGTTCATTAATGCACCAAGCTTTATTTTATTTCACTGGAAATATTTATAGCTAAATATCTGTCATTTATCTTTATGCATTGCTTTATTATCCCTTTTATTGTGGTTTGTGTAAATGACATCACACATCAACCTGCTGATGAGCCTGACAAAGTGACATCTCTTTTTGCAAAGTTACAACCTTTATTTTCCTTCTATTTTCTGCCTATCTGTTTCAATAAACAGTTCAGTATGCTAAGCCTTTGTCTGCAAACAAGTGAAAGATTGCCTAGCCAAATTTTCAAAAATTCATGCCAAAATGTTTTAGTTACTGTGAATTTTAAATTCGAAGAAAGCAAATTTATCTATCTCATAAATTTTTATAAACAAATGTGGTTACAGATCTAGTACGCGAGAATGTGTTAATCAAATGCAAGAAATGTTATTAAAACTGCTGTTGTGACATACTCCTCATGCGCAGCGAAGGGGTTTATTTTTATTATTTGCCTTATGTATTATTACCTGCACATTCCGTCCAATTATTCAGTATTTTTGTTGTGCTTTTACACAGTAAATACAAGATTCCTTCCATCTTATAAATAAGATATTTTATGCTATACCGAAGTGCTTGTGATCTACTTTAAGTGCTTGTGATATCTATTTAAGTGCTTGTGATATCTATTTAAGTGCTTGTGATATCTACTTTAAGTGCTTGTGATATCTATTTAAGTGCTTGTGATATCTACTTTAAGTGCTTGTGATATCTATTTAAGTGCTTGTGATATCTACTTTAAGTGCTTGTGATATCTATTTAAGTGCTTGTGATATCTACTTTAAGTGCTTGTGATATCTACTTTAAGTGCTTGTGATATCTATTTTCTGTGATCATAACCAGGTCTGAAATGACAGCAGCATTAACCTTCACTAAATCATTGTCTGCTTGACCCTAACATTGACTGACCACTGCCAATCCAAACTCATTTCATTGACAGTTATTGAACCATCTCATGTCTATTGGAATCTTAGCTCCACAAGGAGTGGCATTGTAGAGGAGGAGCAGATAAGGATCTTTTCTAGATAAGCCCCGCCACTAATGCAAAAAGTGCAAGCGCTTAAAGTTAAGCCTGCCACTAGCTCCAATTTAATGTATGTACAAAATCTGTGCCTATTTCTGATTTTTAGACATTTGAATATTCAAACGCACCCCATAAAAACAACTCTGATCTAACCCTTACTCGTATCCTCTATTTTTATATTATTTTTGGATGGCTGTGGTTAACTCTTTGGCTGAACTTATCTGGAAAAGACCCTTAGATAGTATTATTAATGTGCCCTTAACAACAAACATGCTGCTGAATGACTTATATATATGATGGCTGATATAATCTCTTCCTGCTCACTGAGTCTCATGCATTCCACTTTTAGACTGTCTTTTTTAATAACTGTATACAATATGAAATGTTTGGTGACTAGAAATACTTCAGCTTCAGTTATTTCCTTTGCTTTTACTTTTATGTAAATAATTATTTTAGTCATTATGCATTTTTCTAAATTTATAAGAGTATTATTTACCTACTATTATTTTACTAAGTGAAATAAAAGCAATTGTTTTTTACTTTAGTGTCAGGCTGTTTTGTTATGTGATGTTGCTCACAATTAAAATAGAGCATTTGCAAGAAGCAATTACTAGAACTAAATCATCCGTAATTTCATGAAGGAGGCTCTAGATACTAATGCAGGTCTGAAATGGTAAATTCTTTACAGAAATTTAACAAAAATACTGTTCCAGTTCAGGATTCATTTTCCTAAATTGTGGTTGGCGAAACAATCTACCGGCCTACGACTCAGTATGTAAATTGTGTCTTCA